ATCTGCTACCTGCCAATCAAAAGGACATGCCCCTAACTATTTAATTACATCTAAATTGAGTTACAAAAAATATTCACCCCCTCAGAGTTGTCATGACGATAAACTTAACCTGTTAAACCTAAAATGGGGTTTTGAACCTGGCTGTTAACATGTTCATTCCAGCTGTGAAGTTGCCATTTTTAACATGGGAGTCAATGGGAACTTGCTCCTTCCTGGAGCCAGTCCCTAGTGGATGAGGAGAGAACTGCAACTTTAGTCACTTCTGTGTTGGCTTTGCTTGGTGTTTACCAACAATCTTGAATCAGATTGACTCCAAAAGTTAATCAGTTATTGATCCTCTTTGGCTCTTTGTGATGAATGATAATTATTTACACTAGTCCTGCACAGTGTATCCAAAAGGTCTTGCAAGTGAAAAATCATTTTGTGAAATATTGATATCTCAAAGGACTGCTTGGACAGCTATAAACCACAAGCTTTTATTTTTCTAGTGTTTTGAATTAATGCTCTGTGTGACAGTTATATATTTGGCCAAAGTGATGACCTGCCACTTCCCTTGATGCCCACAACTGCTTCAGATAGTTGCTGAGATGCTAAAGCTCACTGAAAGTGAGGAAAATGAAGCTTAAGTGGAGTTTTCTGTTCCACATGCTATTGTCATCACAACCATTGTCAACAATAATATCCCAGACACATGTTTTTCTAACTATCATGCAGCCTATATGAGGCATTGGAAGTTGTATATTATCCACTGCGTTCTGCGTCTTGATCTATCACTCTGTCTATTTATCCATGTATCGTGTTTATTTATCCATCCTCTTCTCACAATGGCTTTTTGCTGTGGAGTTTTTCTTTCCTGTTCTGGTGTTCCGTCCATCTGTCCTCCCTTCCTCTCCCTTGGTGTCTGCTCTTGGATGGAGTCAGCTCAAGCTTTCCAAACGGCAGGTGGAGCAAGTCCAGCATTCCTCCACCGCCCTCACTATCCCCTCTTCTTTCGTTCTCTCTCTCTCTCTCTCTCTCTCTCTCTCTCTCTCTCTCTCTCTCTCTCTTTCTCTCTCTCTCTCTCTCTCTCTCTCTCTCTCTCTCTCTCTCTCTCTCTTTCTCTCTCTCTCTTTCTCTCTTACATTCCCTACCCTGCACGCCCCTCAGAGGGAAACTGAGAAACACACAGAGACAGAGAGGAAGGAAAACAGAGACACAGTGGGAGGCAGCTGGGGGAGAAGAGAAAAAGATGTTGAATTTCAGTGTTCTTCAGAATGAAACATCTCACTTGACAAAACAGCCTCAGAGGAAACAAAATGCAAGGACGACTCGCTGAGATATAAGACTTTTAGTTTTCTGGACACAATCGAGAAAAGGTTTATGGGAGTTAGTAAAGACAAATAATTCACAAATACAACGGCATCTCTATTAGGTCTTAATTAAAGAAATCAGCATTAGATAAATAACATTACTTCACTTATTTATGTAACTTGTCCATTTATTCTAACCTCAACTTTAAAAGATTACACTGGCTAAATCTCACAAGGTAACAATTCTAGAAGTAATTCTTTCTAAATCTACAACATTTTTAGAGATGAAACAATAAATCTGGGAAGCGTAAGAAGGTTAAATTTTACTAGAATTTTTGTTGAACAGATTTTGATCCTTTTGAACATATTTTTGATCGTATTTTAGAAAAATTTTTGATCTTTTTTGTACTTTCATCGTTTTTTTGTTTGTGTGAAGCGCCTCGTGATTTTAACTTCAGAGGTGCTATAAAAGATCCTTTTCTTTCTTTCTTTGAGTGGACAGCTATGAGTTCACGAGTTCACACCTGGCATTGGAATATGTCTCCACATCTGTCTTGAGTGATCATCTGTGATTCAATCTCGCTTCCCTGCTTTGAATGTAAATAAAAACATGGCTTGGCTTGCAAAGAACAATCGTTAGAACTTTGTGCAATTTTGGCTTTGCAAAACCGTGTCCTCCTGCAAAGCTTGGTCAACTTCCCCAATCAGGATTCTTTTAATCTTGTTCCTCCAAGTTCACTTACGATTAATCAGATAGACTAGAAAGTCACTCTTAGTTTGTTTTACTTGTACACTCAGTGGTCAGCTTTTTCTGAACTAATCATTAATTTTGCCGTAGGCATTTGCCCATGTGCAGATTTCTGCCAAATTGCTTAGTGAAGCCCTGGTTCTTAACCCGGAAATAAAACAAGAACTTAATAAAAGTAAGTTTTAGTCTTAATGAGGGAACTTGCGGTTCTGTTCTTGTTTACTCTTGGGAGTTATTGTGGAATTCAGCAGGGGATGGACAGAGACAGGCAAGACTCTGGAGTGTAAATGTACTGACCCTCAGCTTTGGTCATGAGTTTTAGATCCTGGCTGGAAAGCTCACTTTGTTTGGCAGCTGGGACCAGTCTTCGCAAGAAAACGAGGAGCTTTGTCATCTGAGGGGTAATCAAAGTAGAAGTGCTGCTCCTCAACATCAGTAGGAGCCAGCTGAGGTGGTCCGAACAGCTGATTGGGACATTTTGAGATTTTTCTCAGAATGTCCTACTGAGAGGAAGCAGAACCAAAACTTGCTGCAGGGATTATATATCCTATTTGTACGGGGGCCTTTCGTCCCACGGGAGAAGCTGCAGACCACCACTGGAGAGAAAGGTGGCTTCTCTTCTGGATCTGTTACCTCTGCAACTCCACCTTGAATAATCAGTAGTAGAGTGACTGGATGGACAATATGACAAATGGACAACAGTCAGTCTGCTGTGTCAAAAGTATAAAAAATGGAGCAAATGTGACATTTTTACTAATTTAACCAAGTTTGCTGAGCATTATGAGTTTTCCTACATGATTGGTATTATATTTGGGTGACTGAATGAACAAGATTGCTGATACAAGAGGCCGAAATGAGTTTTCTCTGCAGGGTGTCTGTGCTTTCCCTTAGAGACAGGGTGAGAAGCTCAGTCATCCAGGAGGAGCTCGGAGTAGATCCGCTGCTCCTCCACATTGAGAGGCTCAGGCATCTAGTTAGAATGCCTCCTGGACGCCACATTGGTGAGGTTTTCCGGGCACGTCCAACTGGGAGGAGACCTAAAGGAAGACCCAGGACACACTGGAAGGAAATGTCTCTCAGCTGGCCAGGGAACGCCTTGGGATTCCCCCAGTGGGGTTAGCCCAAGTGGCTGGGGAGAGGGAAGTCTGGACCTCTCGGCTTAGGCTGCTGCCCCTGCGACGCATCTCCAGATAAGCGGAAGAAAAGGGATGCATTATTGGTATTATGTTAAATAGTTGTAATTACAAGGTGTAATGTTAATGAATGGAGGTTGGTTATGATGGAGGTTGGTTATGAACAAGCCCACAGACAAATCCAGAAAAGACCAGCTCAGTGGCCTAGTGGTGGAGTGTCCGCCCTGAGACTGGGAAATCAGGGTTTGATTCCTGGTCAGGTCATACCAAAGACCTAGAAAAAATGGGACCCAATGCCTCCCTGCTTGACACTCAGCATTAAGGGGTTGGATTGGGGGATTAAACCACCAAATGGTTCCCGAGTGCGGCTTGTCTGCAGCTCACCGCTCCCCCAGGGGATGGGTCAAATGCGGAGAACAAATTTCGCACACACATCAGTGTGTGTGACTTTAAAAGATCCATTTCTTCTAGTCCTGCTATGTGACAAAGTAATGTTTATGTTTATGTTTATTATGCAGAGTGGAGGTAGCCTAAAATTTAGACAACTATAGCAGTAGCAAAACGATTTTACTCTGCAGGTCGATCTAGTCAAGCACCATTGTAGCCTCAGCAGGTCTTCCATTGGCCAGAACAGTTTTGTGTCTTGTCAATCACTGTGCACAATGTTTGTTGGGTGGGCTAAACACAGAGCTGACACGGAGAAAACCACCATGATAGCATTGGCTCAGGAACAGCGCTCATTAAAAATGGCTAAAAACTACAAAGATGGCATCGGAGCAGAAATGGCCCTTATTTGAAACGCTTTTGGCCTCAAATTTGGAGTGTTTAGGCTTTGACTTTGCTTTGAGACACGAGCCAATAAAGGTACCTGAGTCATGTATTTTGAAAGAAGATTTATTTTTTTTGACAATGTACGGTCGACTTCCCCATTAAGGATTTCTGTAGCGATGAACATGCTGTTTGTTGCTCTGTTTAGTTTTAGTGCTGTCCAGCTGCATGCAGAGATAGCTTGAAAGACAACTCCTCCACATAGTTGGTTCAATGGCCAAATACTATATATGTATATATATGACATCTCGATAAAGTGCCAATTAAAAAAAAGTACCCATTAAAAATTCTAATTCACCACAGTTAGTATAAAGCAAATTCAAAGTGAATCTATCCACATGGGACTCCTCAAAACCAACAACAGTAGAATTGTAATTGAGTTATTTCAGTTTAGGCTTAATTGATGTTACCGGTGTGTTGGCAGATTAAATAGAGTGTTGGGATTGTTTGACACAGAGGAAAGCAACTCTGTGTCAAAACTTACTGCTTCCAGATCCAAGAAGCTATTCCAGTTATTTGGAAAAACAAAACTGTTCCAAACGAGCACACAAGTAGCCACACAAACCCATTTTGTTACACTACTTACAGGAAAGGGGCCTCACGAACGAGTTTAACTTATTGACTTAACAATAATTTCATTATTAAGCTGACAGTAAGTCAGAAGTAGTTTTGGTGTTGAACACAGAGCTGAGTGGAGAAGATGAGAGGAAAGCAGTACTGGGACGTTTAGAGAGATAATACACAACGAGTCCTGACCCTTCACTTAAATGCAGCGCCAATCTTGTGTAACCACCGAGGAACAACATAGTCGTTTCATGAGTCTGATACGCCTCCAAAGCTGCATTGGACAACCTTGGGCCTTGTGTGTGTGCGTTTGTTTGTGTGTGATCCAAAAACCGAGCCAAGCAAGAAGAAAAGTGAAATCCTGTTCCCTGTCTATGGTAAAGAACCAGGATTTGTGTGGTGCATTCAAACCGAGCTTTTAAAATGTTTGTGCTTCAGGAGGAGATGAACCGAGGGAAGCCCAACTGGGAGCACCTCAGCGAGGACCTCCATGTCCTGATCACAGTGGAGGACACACACAACCGTGCCAAGATCAAGCTCCAGCGAGCCATCAACGAGGTCAAGAAGCTTCTTGTGCCTGCTGTAAGTATTAGAAATGTGCTTCGTGGCATTTTATTTATAATATTTCTAGAAGAATGGGCATGTGAGAGGATGAGCGTTCACTGTGTTGGTATGCATGGAAGGGGGCAGGGGATTGTCAAGCCCAAGAAGTGTGTATGTGTGTCTTTTTTGTGTGTCCTTGTGTGGATGAGAGAGTATGTGTAAGGGGTTAGGGTAATTAGGGAACACGCATAAAGGGGTTGCCATGGTAGCCCCGGGCTGTTTGAAAGACTGAGGGAATGAATGGAGAGTCTGTTCACTCCTTCTCCCCACTCCATCACTCTTTTCACTCGTTCACAACTCACTTCATACCCAACTACCAGCTACAGTATTCCCTAGTTTTTCTGTCTTCACAAAAGAACATTTTGATCGCTCTCCTCAACATTTCTCAGATTCTCCAGCCCACCTACCGCCCCCCTACAGGAGCACAAACATACATACACACTCGTCAACGTGACAACAAATCAGAAACACGCCAGAATTTGAAAAGGACGCATACCCATTTTGTATTATCAGTTGTTTGACAAACTGGAACAAAAGCACATTTTTCTAAATCCCCAAACTTGTTCTTTTTTTTGTCTCTGCATTATTTGCAACAATAGGCAGAATCTGAAAAGAGCAGCAGGAGGGGTGTTCCTACAGCAGCAATCAGCTGTCACGTCCAGTCAAACCTTCAGCATTAAAGGGTGTGATAAGTGTGTAGAGACAGTCAGGGTCTGAACACCTGTTAACCCATGTTTGTGCAGGTCTGTGTCTTCGTGTGAGGAGGATAACGTCAGTGATATGTGTTGCTTTAACCCAGCTGACCTTTCTCTCCAAATGCAAATCAGTCAAGCTTTTCACCAGACTGTAACTGGAGCTAAGAAGCGAGCGTGTTTGATACGGAATATGTCTTATGTGGCTGAGCAGCTGGTTTTGAGGTCTGGTCAACTCCACTTCAAACAATGTGGGAGGTTTTTTATGTGCCAGCACGCATGAAAGCCCAGATGTTTTTATATAGGACAGCAGTTGATTTGGTTTGTGGTAAGCTCCATCCGTCTGCCTAATTTGCTGACTTTTTGACCAGATTGACAAAGGTTTATTGATTTTCTTGGGAAGGACAGTCATCACTCAGTTAGCTGACTCTGCCATTCTGTTTCCATGTGCTGCTGTAGGCCGAGGGGGAAGACAACCTGAAGAAAATGCAGCTGATGGAGCTGGCCATTCTCAATGGGACCTACAGAGACGCCAATGTCAAGACACGTAAGGATGACTTCATAGTTAGCATAAGGAGGAGTGTTGGTGGGTGACATGGGAGGGGTCTGGATACAGGACTCTACTGTAGTTATAAACAATGCCTCTGTTTCTCCTGTTAAATGAACTGTTTGTTCTCTCCTCTTCTTCCCTGTCTATTGTATGTGCTCTGGTGTGGGTGTGCACACACTTGCATTTTTCTATGTTTGTGTGCCGTACAGCCACTGCCGCCTTCCCTTTAGCGACTCCTCAGGCGCCTCGGATCATCACAGGCCCAACGCCCGTCCTGCCCCCCACCCTTCGAAACCCCGCCCCCGTCACCACGCCTACCATCATGCCTCTGATCCGTCAGATCCAGAGCTCCACCCTCGTGCCAGGGGCTAATCCGCATCCGGCTCTGGTGCAGCAAGGGCCCGAATCTGGGATCATCTACACACCTTACGAGTACCCCTACACACTCACTCCCTCCATATTGGAATACCCGATTGACTCAACTGGAGTATTAGGTACATAGCAGTCAACAGTTTATCACTCTCATACATGGTCAATGGATGTATTATAAGAACTGGATATTGGACTCCAATGAAAGTTGCTCGTCATAACTGATAATCAACGTTTCCTTGTTCACCAGTGAGCCAGAAGGTCACTCAGAGTCACTCAGAGGACAGGAAAAATGGTGATAAAAAATCAGTTTTGATCCTACAATGTGTGTTATGCAGAAACTCAGCAAATACTACATGTGAACCACGTTCACTCACAAACATTCCCCTCTCAGATGGGAAATTGTTCCATATAAAAATCGATTTAAAAGTAGACAAATATGGCGGAGCAGTACTCTCTTTCTGAACATCACGTTCTACGGGCAGCATGTTTGTTTATCTCCATAAATCAGACTAAGACAGTGAAACATCTTTGAAAGCCTAGATTTATGATCGGAGCAGTCGTAGTGTGCTTTTGAGTGGACCAGAGCTCTCATAGCACACCACCCATGATAGGATTATCTGATAAGATTATCTTTAGAGTCCTTACAGTAATTGTTCACAACCTTAAGATTGTTGGAAGCGGCGGGTCTGATGAAAAATTTGCATGACTGTGTGTGAACTGGGCTCATTTTATGAATGCAATGTTTTTTTTAATAAAAGAGAACTGGTAAAGAGGTGCGAGTAAAAATTATATATGAATAATTCAGGTAAATGTTTTAAAAGAAAGCACCACTCAGCGATCAGTCAGCTGTATATGAAGACCAAAGTAAAGAAAAGCCCTGAAACTTTCTCCCTGTTAAAAACAACATTTTTCACTAGTTGCTAAAACTACCAACAGTTGTGGGTTGACAACCTGAAGACTGTCACCCATTGTTGTTTTTAAAGTAGCATTATTTTGAAGGGGAAAAACCCCATTTTCATTAAGCTACAAGAATCTTATGAACCAGCGGTTCCCAAACTTATTAGCATGTTACTAAAAAAATGACACCAACCTCTGACACCAATAATTGTGCAGTGTTGTCAAATAAAGGTTTGACTATACCAACTTGCTTCAAAGATAATAAATAAATGCATAAAAAACAAACTGCATCAGTTTCAATATTACTAATTATGTCTATGTTTGTTATTTTTGATTTTTACAACAGTTATAGTAAAAATATTTCATTAGAATTTTTGTTGCTTTATTCATATTTGAAAATCATCTCCAGACTTAGTGTTTTACTGCCCACGTTGGCATTTAGGGAAGTATTTCCATAAACAGCCCATCACAGGCTCACTGCCCGGATAATTAACCACCTAGAATTTCACAAAGTCAAGAGGAGCAGAGAAGATAGAAGATGAAAGTTGTCTTAACGTCAGGATGTCACCGCTTCATATAAACATGCACAAGATTAATGTGAAATACACGTCCCTGTCTGTGGTGCTTCAAGGCAAGATTTCAGTTTGCTTCTGGCACTGATTGGCTGTCACATCCAGCTCTTGTAATACATCCTCATCATGCACAAATGCATGCTGAAGCTCATTGCCGGGCTAACAGTCCCTTCTCCCTGTGTTTTTGCAGGTATGGCATTCCCAACCAAAGGCTAAGCGATAGCACACACATGGACTGGCTTGCAGAAACCCCTCCTTCCCCCTCCATCCCACACCCCCCTGCACACACACACACACGCACATAGATATCTCAGAGCAAACAGTTTGCTTTTTCTCTAGGATGACACACTTCTTGACTTTAGTCACATGTCCATTCCTGTGGGTTTCCTCCTTGTATTAGCAGACTAGCATTGTGGTGTGATGACTACTTAACTTTTTTTGAATAATTCAGCTTCCGCTTGTAATTCTAACATGTTTTAAAGAACCTGTAGATGTTCTAGAGCTGCTGTTTGCGATTTAACAAATGGTAAAGCTTATATTAAAGCTATAAAGTGATTTGCGTTCAGCTGAAGTTGAGTCTACTAGTGAAGCCTAGTTGGAAGTTAGCAGTTTGGATTAATAATTTCTTTAGGGAAACAAAAGACCACAAAGCAACAAATATTCAGTTTTTTAGATGCAACAAGTTTTATTTTCACCCTAAGCCTTGAACATTTGGTAAAATGCCTGGTTTCACTGATGTTGCTGCCATGGGTGGACTGTCTGATGTCTTTCTGATGAGTAACCTTCTGTGTTTTGTTTTGGCAATATCAATGGCTGTTAGCAGGTGCCATGACCACTAAGGTACGACGCCACGACAAGAGAATCCATCCTTACCAAAGGGTAGTGACCACAGACAGAGGTTAGTTAGCTCACCAGCCACTTTATGTGTATATGTGTGTGCTAGTGTGTGTGCATGCAGACCAATGGACCAATTTCAGTTTACATGTGTCTGTAATATGGCATGCCTTAAAAACAGAAATACTGTATCGGGCAGAAAGACCGAGCAGCTTCAGTGATTGTTGCAGTGAAGGTGAGGAGATTGGGAGGAACCGTGTTAGAGGAGACAGCTGCAGCGCCTGCCTTTGTTCGCCTGTTAACTTAAACTGGACGGCTCAGACCGGGATCTTCTCAATTAGAATGGATCGCTCCATTCATGTGACCTGGTCCTCGTGACTCCTGAGTCGTTTCTCCTCAGTACTACTTCTGGTCTCGTAAATACTGTGGAAACTTTTATTTATACTCATTCCACTCGATTTCCACAGACGTTTTTTAAACATTTAATGTATTAAATCCTGTGTTACGCCCACTTCTTACATGACAGTTAAAGTAAAAAGGATCATTTCTAAGGGTCGGTTGATTCATCGTGATCTTTAGGTTTTACTACTAAAACACAGCGTGTGATAACTACTGAAGTCTGTGTTACGAGCTCTTTTGTATCCAATACTGTTGTTTGTGGTCTTATCAGTCGCCCACTGGACTATATCATTGGGACTGTTTACATCTTTCATTTATTTCCTAGCCAGAGTGGTGCTGTTACCATGTATTTAGCTGCAAAATAAATTTGTATATAGGGATTTTAAGAATTTAAGTGCTTATATGAAGCTTATGGAATAAGATCGCTTGGAAATACTTGTAGTGTTTTTTTTTAGTTTGTAAATTTTTATCTTTGTTTTATGATATGCTTTTTATAGATGAAGTGTCTCCATGTAAACTTTATTCATAGTAGCTACTGCTGTTTTAGCCACCGCTGAGGTGGCTATGAAGGCAGTGACTTTGCTCTGTGTATTTAAGAAGAGAGGACCTTCTCGATTCACAGGCGTCGAGACTGTTTTATGCAATAGAAATGGAGAAATGGACTAGCTAGCTACAAAAATTATGTGTGTGTGAGTCATGGTGCTCTTGTTGTACACGATGGACGTAAAAAAAAGACACTAAAAGGCAATAAAGATGAGTATTGAAACAAATCTCTAAAGCGAGCCAAAGCCTCTAAATTCTTGTAGTTAGTCTGTTTATTGTTAAGCTGTTTCTCTAAAATCACCATCCTTTAACCTCTCATTACTGTCTCTTACGGCGCCTCTGTGCTTACCATAGTTGTTTTAGGTGCTACTCTAATACTACAAAGCCAATAAAACAAACCATAATCAATAATCAGTTAATCATGACCTTTAATCATCAAGATCTTACGCCTGCTGCTCTAAACAAAAGCGCTCCTTGTCAGTAAGTGAGAGTCCCTCTGAAGCCTGGACACCTTTTATTTTTGTTTCCTTTGGACATAAAGGTCACTTTCTCACATGAAACCATGCTGTCTCCCTGTCTGTCCATGGTTTCACTGTCTGTCTGTGCGAGGCGTAGCCCAGCTAGCATGAGTAGTATCACTATAGCAGCAGTCTCACAGCAAGAGGAGTGCCTCTGCCAGCCTGTGAAGACCTTCATGAGCACATGTGGTCTCCGCTAACCGACTGCTCCTCACGTCCGTGTGAATGGTTGTGTGGTGCTCATGAAGGTGTTGCACAGCTTCTATGTAATGACCCTCGTGCTGTGCGACTGCACTAGATCTGCCTTGTTGTCATCCCGACGCCACTAGCTGACACTAATCTCTCTTCTATCTTTTTTCTTTTTATGTCCCCTTTTATGTGCCCTTTTTTGTTTCCTTTCCTCGTCTGTCCGTCTAACTCTAGCTGCCACGGCAACTAACCCATGACCCCTCCCCTCCTTGACCTTCTGACCTTTCCGCCCACTGATGACCCACCCATCTCTGCCTGCTGGCGTGCTCATTGGCCCACGGCTCTGCCACTCCCTCGGCCCAGCCAACCAGAGACCAGAACATTGGGAACAAGCCGGCTGCCTCAGTCTAACCAGCCAACCAGATGACAGCGTTCACAGGAATAAAACCTCAGGACCCCGCCCAACTTTACCAAATGTGCCTTCCTTCTAAACTTCCAAAATTAGTCTTCACTCAAAATTTACTATCTGTAACAGCTGCATGAGTTTACTGGGAGTGGGCTTCCAACTGGTGAAGGGCTTTTAAACCCATCCCTGCCTCTGCGATGCAATAATAACGACTTCTAATAATAACACAGTAACTTAACTGATACTGGTGATACTTATCGGCACAAACACCCTCCATTAACACTAAACTGTAGCAGACATGATGAAATTTTAAGTATTTTTCCACCAGCCAGTACCTTTTTGTTTTAAAATGCTCCTTTTTTCAGCATAACACTAAACCTGGTGTCAAGAATGTTCTTATCGTGACATCTTTCATATAGGGAAGACGTGATTGCTTTACAACTTTATTTTTAAGTGTAAATGGGTTAAGATCAATTACTTCTTGATATCTTTAATCTGCTACAAAAAGCCATCATTCAGGAAAGGAAAATGCCAGCACAGAACTGTTTCCAGCACAAAGCAACAGGTGCTCAGTATAAGAACAAGCTGGAGTTCAAAATGCCAATTTGTCCATGGGTTTCACTAGCCTGAGCATCAGCGACTCAGCTGCTCTCCTTTTGTCACTTTCACGACGATGCCTGTGCCTTTTTTCACACTACAGTATTGTCTGAGCTTGAACAGCAGTGCCTTTATTTATTCAGAGCCAAGGAACAATGTTCAATCTTTCACCTAAACGTCACATAAATGAGATTTCATGTGGGTTTGTTTTGATTAGGACATATTAAGAGTGCCAAAAGATGTTGCTCATTAAATGTGAGCTTCCGAGTGTCTGAAGAAAACAGTGTTATATTTCATGTGCTTCTCTTTGTTTTTGTGTTTGTTTGAATATGCCGAAGGAGATGAAGTCATCCATAGATTTTTGCATGTTTCATGTTTTACTCTCACACACACACACACACACACACACACACACACACACACACACACACACATATATATATAATGCAGTTGTAACATCTGTAACACGTTTATATTGTATTTTTATATTCTATTTTGTATGCAGAAGAATAACATTAAATGATATTTTCAGAAGAGAGAGGTTATGCCTCATTATGGAGACATGATTTGTGAAGCGGAGCTATCCTTTGTGTGTCACTGGTTATCATTTCTTCATGTCCTGATAAAACTGGAGTCTATTGTTCTCTGTTTTAACTTTTGAGCCCTTTGAGATCAGCATTGCTTGCCTTCTGTGCCTTTTGTATACGAGTGTGACAATTAACAGTGTAGTTCAACATTAATCTACTCTTTGGTGCCAAGTGTAGGTTACTAACTGTTGCCACTTTGTGATTATTAACCACTTTAATGGTATCTGTCTCTGCACTAGATTATTTTTAAAAACATTTAAATAAAAGTGTGTCTAAGAAAAACAATGAAAAACAAGAAAAATGAGTGTTGAATGATCTTTTAACTTTTATCTGAGGAGTAACTCTGTTCTTTATTAAACTCTTAGTTGTTAAACTAACCAACTTTGGTGCTTTTTCTCTTAATTATGCAAAACAGCTTCCTTTCTGCATACTAATCACCTTAGATACAGAGAGGGAATAAAAAACACCAAGCAGACACTTTAGCCAAAATGCAGGGAAAAGGCCAAGCTGTGCTTTTCCCACTTCTCTTTTCTGTGTGTTCTTTTTTCTTGTCTTCCTCTGCAATTCAAGTGGACATCACACACATCCAAGTGGGTAATAGGAGAGAAGAAAACACCCAGCTCACCATGGTTTCTCACAGGCATGCACATGTATAACACACACACAATAATAGGGGAGGGGGTTTCAGGTTTGACTGGGGAATTGAAGGAAAATTGATTGTGCAAGCTCGCCCTAGAACATCTGCGAAGTAAATGTTACACGGGATCGCAGAAAGTCCCTGAAGTCTCAGAGAAAACGATCGCTAATAAGCTACACATGTCATGGAGGTTATAGACACTTTATGGGAGTTTAAACCCTTTTTAAATCTATCTGAGTGTCATTCCACCCTGTTGGGCTTTTGACACTGGAAGTTAAAAGTAAAACAGCACATTTAAAGTTTCACACGCAGGAAAAAAGAAATCACAGGCTTTTCTATAGTGAATGCAGCAGTGGGTGGTTCATTCGTCCTCTCCCTGCCCTTCCTGCCTTCATTGTAAAACTGGGGTGGTGGTGGTGGAGAGGGGGGCTGATATTGAACTTCAGGCTTGGAGCTGAGCCTGCTCTGTGGCCACAACCCCAAACCCTTGATCACAGACAGTGAAAGGACATAATGTGACCGCTGCTGACAATCCTTTGGACAGGAAGAACCAGAGTGGAAGCACTGAGTGGAGATAGCAAAAGCAGGAGGGGGGTATAAAGGAGTGTGGATGGGTGGGGGTTCATAGGGGATGGGTGTGTGCGCTTGTCTTTGCTTTTCCTGTTTTCACTCAAGTTTCATGGTGTGTTTTTTTTTCCTCCTTGTTCTCCTGGAATGAAACACTCTTAAAGCAGCTGGTAATGTATTCTGCAGTCAGCTCTTCACTGCTGCCAGCACCGGGGGCCCAGCGCTCCCACAGCTCACAATCAAAGTGTGATTGTGTGCAAGTGTGTGTGTGTGTGTGTGTTTGAGGGAAAGATAATGGGAGAAAGTAAGTGAGAGGAAAAGACAGGTTGATTTACATTGCTCGTGTATGCACGGCATTCCCCACATAATGAACAGCTCCAGATTTTCTCTGCTTGGTAAATATTTGACGACGGAATGATTTTCAGTCCTGTCAGACGCAGGGAAACAACTCAAAAGTTGTATTTCAGCCCCTTCGTTCTCCCTTTATCTCCCTGTCCTCTTCCCATGTAAATAAGGCCAACTCCCCCTTACTCCGCACACCCCTCTGAGGCAGTTTAAAGACCCAACACTGTCTCCTTGTCTCCTTGACAACCAGCTTACACTGGGGTCCTGTCGTGGCCTCTCTGTCTTTTGTGTTTGGGAGCTCAGAGAGACCAAAATTTAAAAAAAAAGGGAGGAAGAAAGATGATGAAAAAGTTTCTAAAAAAGATAACAAAGATGACATCACAGCTATTTCATCCCACAACTGAAAACGTGGTATGTGTCCCAGTGATGATGATGATGATGATGATGATTAGCCAGAGGCACAAAATAGGTGGCAGCTCAGTCTTAGAGCATGGATGGAGAGAGGGAGGCCCACAGCTGAATGGGGCATTGTGGAAAGACAGTGGGCACACTGGGCAGCAACACAGAGAACACTAACTCACACATCATGCCGGAGTCTGAAAACACCCACACTGGGCGACAATGGCAAACTTCATCGCTCCGCTTGGCCCCTTCTGAATACACACATACAATAGCAGGATCCAAATAAGATGCTCTGTTATTTGTGAAATTCAGCACACTAAATTCCTTCAGTGGCTCTGCCCCTTTGACCGGCAGCAGATGGCTGGGGCCAATCTGCAGTAAATATGCACGCGCACGTGCCTGCGTGGGGGTCGTGGTTGCATCATAACTTTAACATCACTGTAAGTAACAAGCATGTCAATGCATCCCAGGGTTTACATGGATGCTGTCTGAGCCAGTTCTGCATCCAATCACGAGAAACATCACGCAGGCTTGGACCAAATTTAGCCCAATCAGCTAATTAAAGCAGACCAAAAGGGCTGAGGAGGTCCACCACTAAACAAGTTTGACCCCATTGTTGCTGCTTTCATCTGTTTGGCTCTCTGCTGCCACTCTGTGGATTATGTGAGGATTTGCAGCTTTTATTTCAGGAATCACTGCAACAGGTGTGGAGGAAAGCAGATGGAGTCTTACGGCGCTTCACATTAAAATCAGTCATCCACCCACGCATTCACGCTCTCATGGTGATGAGCTACAGTGTAGCCACAGCTGCCCTGGGCATTGGCGGAGGAAATGCTGCTGGGCACAGGCGCCATCGGTCTTTCCAACCACTAGCAGGAAAGTGTCTTGCCCAAGGACACAACAGCAGCACTGTCTGGTGGGAGCCGGGATCAAACCTGCAGCCTTACAATTACTGGACAACCCACTCTACCTCCTGAGCCACTGCTTTCCTACATTAATATAAGTATTAAACATCTGTATTTCTTCACAGAACCCAAGGTTTAAAGATCAGTTTTAATTGAATAAATTTAGCCTCTGAGCAAAATTATTTAGCTTCTCTCCATTTATTCTGATAGCAAATACATGGGAAATGTGCATTCTCATAACATTCAGTCAGAGTGAAAATTAATAATATACTGTTTCTATTTGAAGGCTTTGTGACTCAAATACAAAATAAAATGTGAATGGTTTTGTCTTTACCAGGTCTTGTTATTTATTTAAGAAACATTAAGCCAGAATTTAAAAGTAAATGCTATATAATGAGCACACAGCGTGAGTGAATTTTAGAATCACTTTTAGAATAAATTTTTTTAAATATTTTTTACACGACTTTATCCGTCACATTATTGTAAGACTTCTGCTGTCACTTTTGCTCATTTTTGGTTTGTGGGATTTTGTTTATGTCCACATTTGTTTTGTTGTGAAATCTAAATATTCCATACTGTTTCATTAATCTTACAGCCCAAATCACATTTTGCAAGCAATGCGCTCTAAATCAGGATCTTATCTGTTTCTCATAAAAGACAAATTCAAACAAGCAGAGCAGCTAAAAAGATTGAACTTACAGTTCCTATAGTTGTCATTAAAGCAAGACTTTTGCTGTCAGCGGCCGAAGAAATGTCCAGGAAAAATCTCTGGATGTGGACCCTAGTGTGTGCAACCCTGATGGATTGTACGGAAGAACCAAACTCAAAAGGGCAGTGTTGATGATCAATGATTGCTAAGAAGGTGAACTGGATTTTACTCATTTTATCACAGTGAGTTACAATTTTTGTTAAATAGGGAATAATTTAAAGACACCAACTTTTTGATGGGTTTTTATTCTACATTGTGTATTTTTATTGCCTTTACCTTATTTTAATTGCAATCACAAAATTAATCAAATTTGCTCCAACAGCATCATGTTTTCAAATGCTACAGCTTGGTCCATAAAACACATTAGACCACATAATGTTTTATGAGGAGTAACAGCTATAATCTTTATAAAAGACAAATCAAATATTTCTAAAGTCTAAATAACATTCCCATCAGCTAGAAGGGCATCGGCTTATTTTTGTTGAAGTTTTACTCAGCTATAAAGTTCCCCACACTTTCCCCAGGATTGCTCTGACTCCATGAGCTGTTACGTGAAACAGAATCCATCTTCTGCCTCCTCAAGTCTCTGGGACTGAAATAGAATTGTTGTCTATCAAGCTCTAAAAAGAAGAAGTAGACAATTCAAAACGTATGCATGGGAAGAGCATGGTCCATCTATGTGTAGGCTACAACACTTGCTGGGACAAAGTATGACAAATATAATAAAAATAGTAGTCCAATTTCTAAATTCGGAAATCCAAACTTTCCGCTCCTAAGCCAAAATTATCTGAATTACATTTATTTATAAAGCAAATAAATTTATAAAGCACATAAAGCATGTCGTTAAAATAATTTAATATACTTCTTTAATTGTGTGCGCTAGAACGATTTTAAACCCCTGGAATTATGAGTTTATGTACACTCAAGTGTACTTAATATTTTTTTTAAACTTCTTTTAAGTTTCTGCTTTTTTCTGAAGTGTCGTAAAACTTTGGGTGCAAACGTTTGGTTTTCCTGGATATAAACAATAAGATTTATTATAATAAAAATATATACACATTTAAAGTTTTTATTTTAATTTTTGTATTTTTTGTGAATGCGAGTTTGATTTTGGAGATTTGTTGAAGGTTAAAGTGAGTGCGTTGACGTAATGACAGTCCACGACAGAGCTCGCTTTACGGCAGAGCGTGTTGCTGGAGGTCAGGGTCGTGATGTATAAAATAGCTCACTGCATTTTTTAGCAATAAGACGGTGTAATTACGCTTTAGAAAATTAGCTTTATCAGAATATTGATTTCGGTTTATTTCGCTGATCCTCGTGAAATAGTTCGTCCTGGGTTTGAAGATTGCCACATAACTGCGAAGGCTGCTAAGTTTAGCTCGGTTAGCAGCTACTTTCTAAGGTATAATTGAGCTCTTTGGAACAATTACGGTCATGGACAACAACTCACAGGGTTCAGGGGGCTTGAAAGCGGGCCTCGGGAATCTTTTTGGTGGTGGTGGTGCATCTGAATATTCCAACACAGAGCTCGCCGGTGTCCCATGTAAGTAGCATGTAATACCGATACAATGCTAGCTAGTGTTAGCATCCCCGTAACTTCTTTCTTTTGTTTTAGTGACAGGAATGAGTCCCCTCTCTCCTTACCTCAACGTAGACCCTCGATACCTGGTTCAGGTAAGCTTCTATAGTTAAATTTTGTTCATATTTCATGCTTATTTAAATTTGACTGGTCTCACTAATCTAAATGTTTGTTTTAGGACACAGATGAGTTCATTTTACCCACAGGGGCCAACAAAACGAGAGGAAGATTTGAATTGGCTTTCTTCACCATTGGTGGATCATGCATGACTGGTAAGTATATTTTAAGATTTTAACCCTACTTCATTAAAATATTCATTTTACAACCTGAGATTAGTGTTATTCACAGCGGAGATAATATTTATGTGTTCATCGTGTTCAGTTTATACAAAAACTAAAGTCACTGCAAAATCTGCTGCTTTCATGTAAAGTAGCTCCAACAAAAACAGATCATCTAATGTTGTCCTACTGTGATGTTGGGTTATCACATCATATTCGTGGCTTGACTTGAATTCATGTTCAGCGTCTTGGGCTTCCTGACAGGGTTGCGGAAGGCGCTTTATAAATAAAGCTTTGATTGATTAATTGATTGATTGATTGAATTATTGCCCTGCAGGAGCTGCACTTGGAGCTGTAAACGGTCTGAGGATGGGCCTGAAAGAGACCAGAGACATGGCATGGTCCAAACCTCGTAACGTACAGTAAGTAAACAGAAAAAATAATCACCAGGTAATTTTACCTGCATTTTGCATCGCTTTTCTATAACGTTACTTTTTCTCCACCAGGATTCTTAACATGGTGACCAAGCAGGGGGCTTCGTGGGCCAACTCTCTTGGCTCTGTTGGTAATCAGTGGAAACTTACTCATAACAACACATTTGACCATTTTTATAACTAAATGTTTGTCTGTAGTTTGAGGTTAACAGTTGTGTGAATTGGACACGAGTTCACCTTTTAAACGTTGTGTTTGTTGTATCATTGCAGCCTTGTTGTACAGTGCATTTGGTGTGGTGATTGAGAAGACCAGAGGAGCAGAAGATGACATCAACACAGTGGCTGCTGGCACATTAACAGGGATGCTCTTTAAATCTAGTGGTATGTGTCTTTTGTGTTTGTGTTTTGTCAACCTAAAGCCTGATTCATGCTTCTCCGTCTGCGTCAGTGCGGAGACACGCAACGTGAGCTCCGCAAGGACGGACGGAGTCGAGCTCTCTTCTCTAAACATCCGTCAGTCGAGACAGACAACGCAGGCTTGTGATTGGTCAGGACGCCGCTGTCGTCTACACCGCCGCCATTGCGCCTTCAAAAACATGTGAGCCGAGGATAACTAGCGGCAGACACGGAGCAGCTTGAAGAATACCTCGCGATAAAACTATAAAAACATGAACGTTTAATTCCCCGTGACTGGAGGAGTGAAAAGATGCTCAGCAAGCATTTTATTTGTGGACGGAAATGACAGGAAACGTGGGTTTAGAGATAGCGAACGCATCTGGAGGTGGAGGAGAATGAGAGACAAATATGTCCGTGTTAAAAAGTCTCATATACAAAAAAAACCACAATATAAACACACTATCTTGGACCGATACATGACAGGGTACCACTGAACAGCGCTACGCCCTCTGCTGTCCTGCTGGGCAATTTATCTGCAACACTCCAGGAGACGTAGAAGTATGAGAGCAAAACTCTTCCGTCAATCCGTGCGTGTGTGTTCCTTGTGGAGCTGACGGAGAAGCATGAATCAGGCTTTAGACCTAATTTTTTTCTGACCACTTGTTGATTGGATTGAATCAGACTTCCTCTGTAGAAATGTGGAACATTTTATCCATCAGATTGTTGAAATTAGAACATTATAACTTTTATATTAATAGAAAATTACACTTTGGTGTTTTTCTTGTTTACACAGTTACATTTATACATTTTCTCTTACAGGTGGTTGAAAATCCTAGTTTCCCAGCATCTCTCTTTTTTTTTTTTACCTTTCAATACCAAAGCTCTGTTGTTGTGTTAGAACATGCAGAGTTAAGAACAATAATTATGCTAATGCTGAGATTATTTTAGGAAACCATAGGGGTTATTGAATACAATTATGATGAGTTACCCTTGTGGGACTTAATTGTTAACCTGCACACCTACTATTATATCTAATTATTGTTTTCAGGGGTAAAAATGATGAATAATTTGTTCTTTTTCTCAGGTGGATTAAAGAGTGTAGCTCGAGGAGGTCTGGTTGGTTTAGCCCTGTCTGGTGCCTATGCTTTCTACAACAATTGGGACCGTCTGACTGGCTCTTCCTCATCCTCCAGGCTGTACTAAACTTGACTGCACAGCTGCTTCAACATGGGGCCAAATATCTCAAGAACACAACGATAAGAGAAGCTGGATTCTGGTCAAATGAGGTGTTAATTACAGGGAATAGCACGCTGGTCCCGTTTCCATCCATAGCCATTCAATCACAAGCGTTCTTGAAAATCAGAGATGTTTAAAAAAAGTGAATTCAGAAAAAGCAGACAAATCTATCTGTAACTCTTCCATAAACAATGATCTGATCAGTGACCCCTCACAATCGAAGACTGATGCGTCCACATATGAAACATGAGGGCGTTTGGGTTAAATGAGCCAGTTTGTAAGATGCCCTCTGACATCTGTGTGCCATCACCAGATGTGGATGCCAATTTTGGACTGAAAGACTCTTACAACCTGTGAACCTGGAGCAAAGCCTTATGGTCTATTGACTTGTATTTATTAAAAGGTATATTTTCTGTGATTTCTGCTATTCTGTGTAATAGGAAGTCACTGGAACTGCTTACTGTTCACCTGTCTCCAACTAAAATAAAACATTCACAAAGAATGTGCTTTTAATCAGATTTATTGGTGAATTTAATTAGGATGTAAAAGCGTGACTACATAGCATTGCTCCATGAGAGAAGAGCAAACCGATATAAAACTGTTGGCTAGAATATGTATTTACATAATCATTGTAGAAATTGTGTTTGTAGAACAGATTATCTGTACGAGAAATGGCAGAACTGATGTCAGTGCAGGAAGAAGTCCCTGATGCGTGTTGCCTCGATCCAGGGGATGTAGGCAGCAGTGCGGGTGAAAACGCTGGGCTTGTTCTCCACAGTGCAGCCGATGGGGCCAAAGCTCACCACCCCATGCACCTCCCAACGGTCCTGACCCAGCTGGCACAGCAGAGGACCACCGGAGTCACCCTGGAGATGGATGAATGGATGGATGCATGAAGGAGGAATGAGAAGTGGATGCAAATTTGTAATGAACCACAAACACTTGTACCTGACATGCTGCTGGGGGGCCCTCGGTGTCTCTGAACCCGGCACAGATCATTGAGTCCCGGACGCGGTCGCCCCAGAATTTCTTCTGCTTGCAGGTTTTGAAGTCGATGATGGGCAGCCGGGCTTGATTCAGAGCTTCTGCCAGGGAGACGTTCTCCTTTCCACCTGAAATATGTGACAGATGTTTCTGTGAACTGGATTTCTGGTTCCGCTCGCATTTATTGTGTCTTTAAAATGTAACAAAACCAACACCGTGACACATTTCAGAGAGCATCTTTTATAAAACTGAAACTAAGAATAAGCAGATAAGAAAACATTTATATATCATAAAACATGCTACACTGAATAGATTTTTTAATTATTATTTTAGTAATTTAGTCTGTTTACAATTTAGCTCGAAATGTATTTTAATATCAAATAAAACTGAACCTAAAATTTTCCAAATAGGTGATATCTTCCTCAAGTTAACAGCTTCTGAAGTTCCACATTATTATTAATGATAAATGACCCGCACTTGTATAGCGCCTCTCAGAGTAAGGACTCCAAAGCGCTTTACACTACAGTGTATCATTCATTCATTCACACAAACACTCACACACTGATGGTGATGAGCTACGATGTAGCCACAGCTGCCCTGGGGTGCACTGACTGAGAAACAGCATAACTAATCAACATAATTCAAATTTATTATGAAGAATTCAATTATGTTAACATCCCTCATTGATGTTAAACATGAGGTTTATTTTCCTGGTGACCTTTAAGTGTCCCTGCGTTTGTGTCCCCTGTCTTGGACTCACCACGGGTGTCCCCCCAGCCTGTGACCCAGCAGTAGTGTCCCGGGTTGAGGGGGGTCTGCTTGCGCGGCAGGCAGGCGTAGCGGATGAAGTCTGAAGGGAGGATGTCTGTGGCAGCCTTCACCAGGGCGATGTCATAGTCCAGCTCGCTGTGGGTGGGATAGCGGAAGTTCTCATGCCGGTAGATCCTCTTGACAGGGAAGATCCTCTCTGCTGTCTCTGAACGCCTCAGTTGGTGCTTTCCCAGGACTATCCTCCAGCTCCCAGGGTCCTCAGCTTTGCCCCTGAGAGTGTTTGAGGACAGAACTTTATTTAACTAATAAAAAGTCCACGCATATGTGGAGAATTTAATGGTTTTCTCTTTACTTTTGGAAGCAGTGAGCTGCAGTGAGCACCCAGTTCCTATGAATGAGAGTTCCTCCACAAACATGAATGTAATGCTTACTCCCCCGCGGGCGAACCTGTAGGAAACCAGACAGCCAGAAGCACATCAGCACGGAGAATTCAGCTGGAGGAGAAAGTAGCTTCAGACAACAGGAAATGGTCTCTTACTTCCTCGTATTTGAAATTCTCAACGCTGATTCTATTTGCTCTGCAACATTGATGTTTTATCAAGCCTGGAGAAGTTTTGCCATGTGGTGGATTTGCTAATGCTATCGGTTAGCTTACGCTAGCCGAGGTGTCCTCTGCTGTTTCCTGGACGCTAAACCAACAACAACCTTCTCCAACTTTAGTCAAGATGGGTGAGTCCATGAATGTTAAGCGACAGTGTTACGTAGATCTGTCAGGATTTTCGGATCCTATAGTTTCACCGTCTATTTTCTATCATAAGCTAATGCAGGAGATAAGTGTAGGAGACTATTTTCATGTTCAGCCTGCATGAAAAACTCAGAGTGACCGGTAAATCAGAAATAATCATTTAAAAAAGGTTTTTCAGTGTTCCACACCTTTAAATATGTTTGGACTAAAACAGCATTAGCTGTGTAAGGGGCTAAAGGCCTGTCTTATTACAGGGAAATATCAGTTCTTGTATGGTGTTTTACAATAAAAGTAAGTCATTTATGTTGCTTTTCTGTTTATAAGATGGAGGCATTTTAGCAGAGGACCCAAACACCAAGTTTGAAATATGTAAAATAAATATTTACTGATTTTCTCCCCATGTGAGGTAATGATAGGAAAGTTGAGAATTCTGGCTCCAGTCATTATGTCGGGTTACACAACCAATGTTGTTGCTCTACATTAATTCAATTAATGAGAAAAAAAAGTTTTTATGAACCATTTAAAATGAAAAGTGGCTTCCCATTAGTCAGATATAATATATTGTACTAAAATATACAATAAAATTGCATTGCAGTGTTTTTACCTACAGGTTTAAACCTATAAGTATTAAGATGACATTTTTCAACTTCAAAAAGGTTATTGAATCGTACTTTTTAAAACAGTTTTTTTAAACATCTGTAAATGGACGCCAGAGCCAAACGTTTGTTTTGTGACCATCTACCAATTAAAGAAAACCGTAAATACTGTCATGACTCCCAACCTTCACCCTCCTCTGCCTCCTCATTTACTCTTCATTCAGCTCACCTGGTCCCCTCACCAAGCTCCTGCCAAGCCCTGTTTTCCCTAGCAACCTCAGTCAGCATCACAATCAACTTCATTCATCTCACTTGTTCCTGTAATCAGCCTTCATCCACTTCACCTGCTCCTGACTCCTCAGCTCATTACTCACACCTGTTTCCCCTGCTACAAAAGAACCAGCCATCCAGTCATTCACTGCCAGATTATTGAACGTTATTGCTAGCAAATCTTCCAGTCATCCTCCCTGCCTGTTTTCTGCCTCCGGACCTTGTTTTTCCTCCTGACCCCTGCCTTGCACGCTGCCTTCCATTTCAACCTCCGCCTGTCCCCGACTCTGTCTCCAGCCTCGCCCTCCTGGTAACTCTGCTGCAAATAAAGACATTTTTAATCTATTTTTACTGTGTTTGGCCTTATTATGGGTCTTCTGAGTTCTGTTTGTGACAAATACACTTGATTTGTTTAAGTTTAGAATAACTTTCTCTGTCCTGTTTAGGTGTAAACACTGAATGAGAGGCATTTTTACAGTTTCTGACCTTTAAAAATAAATATTGAACACTGCAATGTGATTTAATAAGCAACAACACTAAAGATCTACATGGCTTTGAAAGAAATATTATAGCGCCTGTATAGCTGGGTAACAATTGTGGCATTAAATGGTGATTAACCTTAATCAATTTCCCTCTGGGATTAATAAAGTATTTTTGAATTTGAATTGAATAGCAACAGGAGCTAAAAGTGTTTGACTAAAACATTTAATCCTGAATGCTATGCCAGTGATTCACCTGTAAAGACACCTGCCAGGGCCAGGAGTGAGGTCTAGCCTCGTTTCCAGACACAATCCTCTCAACCATGTTGGGTTTGAAGTGAGCCATGCCACAGTCCATTGGCCAATCTGGGAGAAAAACACCACGTTAAAACAAACATGATGATTTTAAAGCTCATTGTGGATGAATCTGATGGATTTTATTGTGCTCTCACCCAATTGGAGGATTTTATGCTGTGGCTGTTGCTCTGGGATGAGTGTATATGCAGCTGCTGGCAGGAATGCCTTGCTCAACAGCAGCAGTGGCAACAGAGAAAGAAACAGGAGCAGAGGAGGTCCCCCCGGTACAGCCATAGTTGTTAGACAGAATCGCCGATCGCTACTCAACCACCGCTTTATATAGCAGGCAGCAGGCATACACACATGTACACAAACAGGTGAAGAGCACACGCGGAGCAGCAAATCACCAGGGACAATGAAGTGTGTCACAACAAAGGCTGAGCGCTGGATCGTTCTCCTGTGAGTTTTACTGCAGCTGAGAAAGAAAAAAGGGAATTTTGGGGAGTCCCATCAGCATTTTACACTCATACAGTAAGTTCACACCTACAAAGGCACCACTGTAATGTACACAAACAAGCCTAAGGTCACATGACAAGTGGTGGTGACACAGTGACCTGAACATGACCTTCCAAAACTCCCCATCACTGTGTAAATATGGCTGCAGAAAATATAACATCATGAGACAATTTCATGTCTCTCAAAAGTCAAATCAAGAGCAGCAGGTCAGCTTTCATCCATCCATCCACCAGTCTATCCATCATCTATTAATACATCCATCCATTAATGTATTCATCCATCCATCCTTCCATCAATCCATTCATCAATCAACCCTACCATCCATCCATCAACCCTACCATCCATCCATCCATCCATCCATCAACCCTACCATCCATCCATCAACCCTACCATCATCCATCCATCCATCCATTCATCCATCCATCCATCCATCCATCCATCAATCAACCCTACCATCCATCCATCCATCCATCAGCCTATCCATCATCTATTAATACATCCATCCATCAATGTATTCATCTATCCATCCATCCATCAGTCAACCCTACCATCCATCCATCCATCCATCCATCCATCCATCATCTATCCATCCATCCACGTGTTCATCCATTAATCCATCCATCCATCCACTTGTTCATCCATCCATCCATCCACGTGTTCATCCATCCATCCATCCATCTATCCATCTATCCATCCATCCATCCATCCATCATGTATTCATCCATCCATCCATCCATCCATCCATCATGTATTCATCCATCCATCCATCCATCCATCCATCAACCCTACCATCCATCAACCCTACCATCCATCCATCCATCCATCCATCCATCCATCCATCCAGGAAACATTTACAGGTGCTGGCCAGTAAATTAGAATATCATCAAAAGGTTGAAAATATTTCAGTAATTCCATTCAAAACGTGAAACTTGTACATTATATTCATGCAATGCACACAGACCAATGTATTTCCAATGTTCATTACATTTAAATTTGATATTCATAAGTGACAACTAATGAAAACTCCAAATTTGGTATCTCAAAAAATTAGAATATTCTGAAAAGGCTGAATATAGAAGACACCTGCTGCCACTCTAATCAGCTGATTTACTCAAAACACCTGCAAAGGCCTTTAAAAGGTCCCTCAGTCTTGTTTTGAAGCCACCACAATCATGGGGAAGACTTCTGACTTAACAGCTGTCCAAAAGACAATCATTGACACCTTGCACAAGGAGGGCAAGACACAAAAGGTGATTGCTAAAGAAGCTGGCTGTTCGCAGAGCTCTGTGTCCAAGCACATTAACAGACAGGCGAAGGGACGGAAAAAATGTGGTAGAAAAAAGTGTACAAGCTCTAGGGATAACCGCACCCTGCAGAGAATTGTGACGACAAACCCATTCAAAAATGTGGGGGAGATCCACAAAGAGTGGACTGCAGCTGGAGTCAGCGCTTCAAGAACCACCACGAGGAGACTCATGAAAGACATGGGATTCAGGTGTCGCATTCCGTGTGTCAAGCCACTCTTGAACAAGAAACAGCGCAAGAAGCGTCTCGCCTGGGCCAAGGACAAAAAGGACTGGACTGATGCTGAGTGGTCCAAAGTTATGTTTTCTGATGAAAGCAAGTTCTGCATTTCCTTTGGAAATCAAGGACCCAGAGTCTGGAGGAAGAGCGGAGAAGCACAGAATCCACGTTGCATGAGGTCCAGTGTAAAGTTTCCACCGTCAGTGATGGTGTGGGGTGCCATGTCATCTGCCGGTGTTGGCCCACTCTGTTTCCTGAGGTCCAGGGTCAATGCAGCCGTCTACCAGGAAGTTTTAGAGCACTTCATGCTTCCTGCTGCTGACCAACTTTATGGGGATGCAGACTTCACCTTTCAACAGGACTTGGCACCTGCACACAGTGCCAAAACCACCAGCACCTGGTTCAAGGACCATGGTATCCCTGTCCTTGATTGGCCAGCAAACTCGCCTGACCTTAACCCCATAGAAAATCTATGGGGTATTGTGAAGCGGAGGATGCAATACGCTAGACCCAACAATGCAGAGGAGCTGAAGACGACTATCAGAGCAACCTGGGCTCTCATAACACCTGAGCAGTGCCACAGACTGATCGAGTCCATGCCACGCCGCATTACTGCAGTTATTGAGGCAAAAGGAGCCCCGACTAAGTATTGAGTGCTATACATGCACATTCTTTTCATGTTCATTCTTTTCAGTTGGCCAACATTAGAGAAACAAACATTTTTTCATTGGCCTTTAGAATATTCTAATTTTCTGAGATACCAGATTTGATGTTTTCATTGGTTGTCACCTATAAATATCAAAATTAAACGTAATAAACATCGGAAATACATTGGTCTGTGTGCATTGCATGAATATAATGTACAAGTTTCACGTTTTGAATGGAATTACTGAAATATTTTCAACCTTTTGATGATATTCTAATTTACTGGCCAGCACCTGTATTCCTCGTAGGGAGCTATTGTCTCCCTCCAGAAGTCAACAGGCAGGGGAGACCATGGACAGCTCTCCAGTCCATCATAGGGACACACAGAGACAAACAACCAGTCTCTTACTCACTTGGACAATTTAGAATGAAGAAAACACTAAACAGGTTTTCACCTTACATCTCAGGCTGTTTGCACACTCCTGAAAAGGTCAAGGAGGTTAATTGAACAAATGCTCCTGGATGTACCGATGAGTAGAATGAAGCATAGAGGAAACAAAGATTTCTCTGGAGTTTAATGGTAAGACCTCATCAACATTCATCACACCTTGTCCATTCATTTTTCTGATTGATTTCTCAATAATTTATGATTCAAAGTATTTTGGTGAACACTTGTCTTTTTTCAATGTGCTCATTAATAAATTGAGTGTTAACAGACAAACATGCTTCTGTGAAAATACATCAACAACAAGCGCAGTGGAAGCCACCAGTGAGCTGGGCCTCTCTGCTGTGGTGAATGAGCGAGAATGTGCCCGCTCATCTGAATGGCAGCGCTTCAATGGTCAGATCGGACCACCGTGGTTCACCAAGTTTACACACAACTCAACTTTGGGTTTGTTTTGCATGGCTTAATGAGGTGAATGAGCATTTCTGCAACAAATCTAAATGTAGTTTATTGAGTCACTTCAAAGTGTTCTTTTTGTATTCGCTGCGATGGTACTTCATTTTTTATATGAAGGTGCAATATGTAAAAATGAAGTAAGAATGACTCCCTGTGGTCAAATTTGGGTACTGCTGTCAACTTTTCTAAACAAAAACTCACTTTCTCCCTCCCATTCAGTTTCATGGCTTTTGCCAGTTACAGATCAGTGCCAGAAGATTCTTCATTAAAAGCAAAGACGAGTCATACACAGTAAGGTGATGAGTAGATAAATACATCGTCATATTTGGTGTTAGCTCTTTGGGGTGTTTTACGGTAGGGAGCACTTACTACAGTTATTACGGTAGAATACCTCTGGCATTAGAAGGGAATAAAGTTTGCCATCTTGCTGTTTGTGTTCTTAGTGGCTTAAAGGGAATAAAATGCCACAATGAAGCCACCACTCTTCCGGCAGTTGCAGAGTACAGACGCTTCTGCTTTTGCTCCCTTATCTTTTTTTCCCAAGGCTATTTGTCCTGTCTGCCTACAGAGCGCTTCTCTGCATTTCTTCTGAAAATCCATATTTTTTGGAAATTGACTTAATTAAATGGTCATTCAACGCGATTGATAAGATTTTTTCTACAATGAGAACGGAGGAGGGGGCTCCCACTTGCCCTCAAGGGACACACGCAGCGGGAAATGCGCTTGATTCCTGGAAAGAAAGGAGGATCGTATCAGAATCAGAATCAGAAAGAATTTTATTGCCAGCGCTCCAGCGATCCAGAGCATAGGAACTTGACTCCACAGTACAGCTTGACCAAGATTACACACACACACACATATAGACAAGACAGGTACAGGCAGACCGCGAGAGCAGCCATAACGGCGCTCATTTCAGTAGATGAAGAGGGGATTACATGAGGAGAGTTCGGGGAGGGAGAAAAAGGCATTAACAGAGCTACACCGGCAGGGTGTAGCTCTACTATGCAAAAAAAAAAAAAACACCCAACATACAAGCACGAAAGTCACAGTTCACAACATGAGACCCGGTAGGTAGGGGGGAGGGGCTAGGACCCTGGTTTCCTCAGCGGGAGCAGCCTGTGTGGCGCTCGGCCAACTGAATCCACAGGCAGGAGGGAGGTCACGGGAAAGCACAGAGCACAGTGAGTGCCTCCAACTTGATGACCTCGGTGCGAGACCACAATCTGAAGGCGGGGGGGGGGGGGGGGGGGGGGGGTGTCACAGCATTTGTCTGCATTCCTTCCATCTTGGGGGTTTTTGCACACAACTCCAAGGCTGCTTATGGTGTCAGATTCAATAACAAGACTTTGTTTGGGTCAGGCAACGATACTTTTCCTCTCTGCCTTAAAGTCTGTATTGATCATTCAAATCCTCCAGTGAAGCCAATTCGGTGATTAAACATCTCCACACTGTCCGGTGACCCTTTCCGAGATGAGATCCAATTTGCGCACTACCACCGGTAACGCAGCTAAGACATTGTCCAGCTTGCGATTCACCTCCAGTAACGTCCCAGTCTGTAAGGTCTCCGCCCGGACGGTGCCGTCCCTGGATGCGGGTCGCCCTCCAATCGCTCCCGTCATCCCAGTTTTACGGAAAACCAGATATCCTCCCATTCCAATCAGAAGAAATCCAGTGATCATCAGGCCAAATATCCACACATCTTCGACGTCCTCAATGGACAGCTGAGAGAGACAGATGACATTCCACTTCTTCCAGGAATCGAGCATATATCCTGCTGCATGTGTCCCGTGAGGACAAGCGCAAGCCCCCTCCTCCGTTCTCATCGTAGAAAAAATCTTATCAATCGCGTTGAATGACCAATTAATTAAATCCATTTCTGAAAAATTGTGATTTCCAGAGGAAATGCAGAGAAGCGCTCTGTAGGCAGAGGGGACAAAAAGAGCCTTGGGAAAAGCAGATAAGGGAGCAAAGCAGAAGCGACCGTGCTCTGTGAGTGCCAGAAAAGAGTTGTCCATTGAGGATGTCGAAGATATGTGGATATTTGGCCTGATGGCCTGGATTTCTTCTGATTGGAGTGGGAGGATATCTGGTTTTCCGTAAAATTGGGATGACGGGAGCGATTGGAGGGCGACCCGCATCCAGGGACGGCACCGTCCGGGCGGAGACCTTACAGACTGGGACGTTACTGGAGGTGAATCGCAAGCTGGACAATGTCTTAGCTGCGTTACCGGTGGTAGTGCGCAAATTGGATCTCATCTCGGAAAGGGTCACCGGACGGTGTGGAGATGTTTAATCACCGAATTGGCTTCACTGGAGGATTTGAATGATCAATACAGACTTTAAGGCAGAGAGGAAAAGTATCGTTGCCTGACCCAAACAAAGTCTTGTTATCCAAATCTGATGCCAAGGCAGCCTTCAAGCTGCCCCCACGAAGGAATGCAGACAGATGCTGTGACCCCCCCCCCCCCCCCCCCCCTCCTTCAGATTGTGGACTTCTGCCTAGCAAGGTCATCAGCCCGCAGGAATCAATGTGCTCTGCGCTCCTCCCAAGATCTCCTTCCCACCTGTGGCTACAGTTGGCTGATCGCCATACAGGGCTGCTCTCGCTGGGGAAACAGGATCCCAGCCCCCCCCCCCCCCCCCCCCCCCCCCCCGCACCTCCTACCGGACTCTCATGTTGTGAACTGTCGATGTCTGCGTTCCTCCCAAGATCTCCCTCCCACCTGTGGCTACAGTGGCTGAGCGCCTTGAGATGGCTGCTCTCGCTGGGGAAATAGGATCCCAGCCCCCCCTCCTTCCTCTTGGGCTCTCGTGAACTGTTGATGTTCGTGCTTACATGTTTGAGGTGTTTTTTTGTATTACAAAGCTACGCCCTGCCGGGAGTAACTCTGGAATGCCTTTTTTTCCTCCCCCAATTTATCCTCATGTAATCCCCTTTTCATCTAATGAAATGCTGGCGGCGCGTGCACACGCAGCGCCTTCTCTCTCTCCCGTTCTTTAGCGAGAGTTTGAGAGTAACGTAATTTCATTTCTCTGTATGTCTTGTACATGTGGTAGAATTGACAATAGAACTGACTTTGACTTTTTGACTTTGACCATTCACTTCACACACACATTTTAATGTTATATTGACTGTGAACATGATATGTGACCATCAGTTAAATTTTTTTGAGGATTTTAATTTTAAAAGGGAGGAGCTCTGTGGGGGGACTGGAGGGCTGTTTTCAAACACTCGTGGAAACTTTGAAATAACTTTAACTTCTCTTTGCACCATGGTCTGCCACAGATGTATTTATTCTCATCAAGACCAGTAAAGCACTGGCAAATCTCAAAGTCACACATTAAAAAATTATATACAGTTAACTGAAGATCTCACAAGTTTATCAGTAACTGGACGTGTACCTTCTCAGACTAGCTTTTTACGTTTTATCTGTCAGCACTAACAACAGAATTGTGCATTTAAATAATCCGTTTGTTTATACTAGCTTGCTGGTTTGGATCTGGGAGTATTGTGTCACACTTCACAAGTTAAATTATCTTCCTCTCAGTCATCAATCTTTCTGGAGCCTCCACACCACCCCGGCCTCCTCAGACTTATGATCTTAGTCTTTTTCTTGCCGTGTTCGCTCTTGTGGGAGGGCAGCTTCAGGTTGCTGATCACCTCCTGCTCTTGCACCTCATCCTCCTCTATTTCTTTAGATATTTCATGGTCTCCTTTGCTTCTTCTATGATCAGCTTCCTCCGTTTCTGGTTTTTTGTTTCCTGTTTCCCGTATCACCTCCTTTCCTTCTTCTGCAAGCATGTCCTGACTCTCACCTTCCACCAGGCACTTGATGCTCATTGCAGGTTGACTCATTCCAGGTTCCATAGTCGTTACCATGTTTGATATGAGAGGAGGCAGTGGTGCTTTCTTCTTCTTTGAGGAACACCTCAGAGGTTTAGGGCTGTTCTTGAGATCCAGATGTTTCTGTATGGCTGAACTCAGCTCCTTTGGGTCCAAAGATGCTCCATGAATTTCCCACGTCAGCCCGTCCTCGCCCCACTGCACCTGCTTCATGCTACCCCTCCTGCCTCGCTCATCCGTTTCCTCCTGCTGGAGGTTCAGATATGTCCGTGTCCTCTCCAGATTGTGTGAGGAACCAGATGCGACGTCCCACTCCGGGTCTTCTCGTTTCTTCTCCTCTTCTTCGCCACTGCTTACAGGAAACATGCTGGAAGACGCAGAAACCAGATTGGAGTGGGATCCCACGGGAAGCTTTAGGTTAAGTCTGGATCCAGGTGGCGAGCCCAAGAAAGAGTGTGACCTGGTGGACATGTCTCTCTGGAGGTCACAGCAGGAGCCCAATGGAGAGGCTGTCTGCACAGCAGCATCTGCCGTTTCCATCTGGGAAGTCATTGTTGCTTTTTCTCTGAACAGCTTGTACGTTTTCAAAGCTCCTCCCCAGGGGGTCAGCTTGCACCTGACGCAGGGCCCCAACTGTGAATCGCTCAAGGAGGAAACTAGTGGTGATCTCCAACCTGGGTCCACCAAACACCTTTGTTCCGGCTGCAAGGTCAGCCCAAGATGGCAGCCTGAAGATCCTATATTAGTGTTTTCCTCTTCTGCAAAGGAATTTGGCTTTGAGTTGCAAAACATTTGCAGTGGGCTTTTAGCTCCTTCACCTTCTGATACCTGGTTGTCTCCAGGACTTGACAATTCCTTTATTATATCATTAACAAGGCATCCAGGATCTAAACCCCCTTCTGCATCTGCTAGGCTGAAATGTGACGGGACTGGAGACGGAAACTGAAATATAAGTTTCCCTTCGGAGCCTTCTTCACGTGGACTTGTGGGCCAAGGGTGATGACAGGATTCTGGTGCATGATGGGCACTCAGTGTTGACGGTGAAGAGGATGTTATGTTATCTTCAGATGGTAAAGTAGGTGTGTGGAAGGGGGAGATAAAGGGTGAGGGGATTGTAGGTGGAGAAGTTATTTTGGACATTGGAGAGTCTGGAGTGGAGGTGCTAGGGACATCCTGGCTTGAAGACGTTCCTTTCCACACAACTGTGTCTGGGGTGCTGCTGCGGCTGTGTGTGCTGCTGCTGCATCCACTCCAGCGATGCGTGTTGGAAATCCAGCGCTCGCTGAGCGAAGGAGGACTCATCAGCTCCTCGTTTTGGGTCGTGGGGAAGAAATGGTGGCTGTTGTGTCGCCATTTGTGAGGGTGCAGCTGCTGAACCAAGCTCCCTTGGTTCTGGTCAGAGTGCGTGTTGGTGCTGGAGCTACGCTTTAGGTCCAGTCTGGTCCAAACAGGGTCCCGCTTGTGTGGCGAGCCTGTTGCCATGACCACATCCACGGAGCTCTTGGAGAGGGAGAAAATGGGTGACTGGTCATCCTCATCCTCCAGAATCATAGCTTTACCTGAGAGGGACAATGTCTGACCAACTGAGCAACAGGTGGACTGGTAGCTCTCAGATGCCGGTCGACCGGACCTCGCCATGGCAATGACACAAACCTATAAGGAACAGAGAAAATTAGTTCTGAAGAGACCATAGACAATATCTAAAACATAACTTTACAATATTTAATCCTTTGTTGTAAGTTAGAGAATCAGAGCAGAACTTCACACAAAAGCTACATTTGTCTCTAAAGCAGCGGTGCCGCATGCTGGTTCTAAAAGACCATGATCCTGCATCTTTTACACATCTCTGTGCTCCAACACACTTGATTTGAACAATGGGTGTCTAACAGGCATCAGCAGAACTTGAAAGAAAAGACTTTACTGCACTCTCTCTCTAGCTCTCTGCTTTAGCTTCTGCTGAAAGTGTTCCTAGAGACTTCAAGGGTCCACTCCAGGAGTCTCCTATACCATTGGAACAGGCCTACATCCTAATCAGATGTCCAAACCAGCTCAGCTGACTCCCTTTGAAGAGGAAGAGCAGCAGCTCTACTCTGGAGCTTTTTTTCTGCAAGGCTGAGCCTAGCTGTCCTTCACAAGAAGCTCATTTTAGTTGGGTTCTCATTCATTCTCATGACCATAGGTGAGGGATGAGGTAAACCAAGAGCTTTCAGCTCAAGTCTTTCTTCACCACAGTGGACCAGAGCAATGCCCTCTGAAACATGCCCATATCTAAACATGCCACCAAGCTGCTCCAACTCTTCTGCTTGAAGCAAAGACTCAATCCAGACTCAGAGGCGGCATCCCACTTTACTTCAGTGAAGTCCCTTAGCTTCAGAATAAGAGGAGCTACTTCTCATTCTCACCGTTTCACACTCGGTTGTTGCTTTAGTGCTGGGGTCACCAACCTGGCACCACGGTGCCCGCTGGGACCATATAAGGTGCCCACAGGCCTTTTCTCCAAATGGCACAAAAAAATCTGTTGCCCTCTTTTTTAATCATAAAAAAATCATGAGTCAGTACCCATGAAGTAGCTCTCAGCTTCACAAAGGTTGGTGACCCCTGCTCTAGTGGAAATAATTTGTTCAAATTAAGCTAACTGACATTAATCTAGAATCCTGCATCTGCCATCAGCATCTTGGCCAATATTTTACAGACACCAAAGATTTTCTAGCTTCATTCTGTGTTTATATAATTGACCACCAGCTGTGAAAGCTCATTAATTGTAAAATAACTGATATTATATGTTACAAAGATGCACATTATTTCATGTGATTAGTTAAAATACAACATTTTTCAGTTAACATTTAGATGTTAATGTTAGCTTGTAGCTAACTTTGTTCCGTAAAGCCAATTACCTTTTATTCTTTGCATGTTCACCACAGCCTGCTCTTACACAGTATTCCTATTTTTTCTGTTTTAACAAACTCATTATTAACAAAAAAGTAAATCATGCAGGTTTAAAAGAATGTTTGAACTGTTTGGACAACATATACTCAGGGATTTGGATGAGGAGATTGAAACACATGCAAATACCCCCCCCCCCCCCCCACACACACACACCACCACCAACACACACACACACACACACACACACACACACACACACACACACACACACACACACACACACACGCGCACACACACACACACACACACACACACAGGCACTTCCAGATTAGCCAAATGAGATTACACAATCCAGATTATTCCATTATTGAGACAAAATGAAGCTTAATAGAGGTTTAAAAGAGCATTTGGCCATGAGTTGGCACGAGACAAAGACAATTAATTTAAAGGTTTAGGATTTTGTGAGGAAACGTATTGAGTGTTGAAATCTTCCGTCAGTGCAGGTTGTGTTTGTAGTCCTTTAGAAGCAAGTTATTGTAGCTGTGAATGTTTTATTTTAATAAAAAACAATACTTAGTTTTGAAATAATGATAATCCAAAAGCCCTTCAGGAATTCCTATTACTACAAATAAAGGCCCATTAAATATTTGGAACTGTATCTCAAATATGAATGCCCTTGGTCAATACTAAGAACACACAAACACCCAAACACACACACACACACACACACACACACACACACACACACACACACACACACACACACACAATACCAGAAAACAGTGAATATTAACCTCTTACCTTAAACACACCTCTTGTCCTGTTTTGGCCTCTGCCCTGTTCCAGAACAGGGAGCTCTAATTGGTGCTTCTCCTTCCTTCCTTCATTCCTTCCATTCGTCCTCCCCCGCTTCTGAAACGGATCTTATTTCCAGACACATAAACGACTTCACAGTCCAGTTTTCTCTAAAGTCCCCTTGTTCAATCTTGATCCCCTTCTTTGCATCAGCTGAGACGCTGGCATCAGTGTAATTGTGAGGATTTTTCTCTTTCAATGTGTGTTTTATGGTGCGTTCGTGTGTGTGTGTGTGTGTGTGTGTGTGTGTGTGTGTGTGTGTGTGTGTGTGTGTGTGTGTGTGTGTGTGTGTGTGTGCCATGGAGAGAGAGCCATTACTCTTTACTTTTAGCCCAGAGGATTAACAGTCATCTCATTAGCTGCTGTCCAATCCAGTCTTTGAGAGTGGAAGCACTGAGCAGGAGGTTTATGAGCAATTTTAATTCAAATCTAAGACCAGATCAGCTGGTAGGACCACCGTATCACATGATTGTGGTTGACTAGAAACACGGTGGAAATGGAGCCAAGCTGGTAACTTAGTGACAGAGTCAGATTCAAAAATGTGATCACAAACTTAGTCTATGATGTTGGAATATTAAAATGAATGGCTAGGCTGTTAGTAAAGGGGTGTAAAGGTTTTGTAAATGTGTGGTAATTAACAGCAAACCTCACAAAGCCAGAGCATTTTCTTATCCTCAAAGTTTTGATTATAAACCATGAAGTCGCATGTATTCTATTTTACACACCCATTACTGGGGCCTCCACCTCTCGGATGGGATTACTTTCCTCAAAACCAGCTGAATCCTATAAAAATGTATTATGCCTTCTGGTGATGGATCTAAATATTGCAACAGTATGGCAGTTTGTTATTTATTATTATATTTTATTTTAGATTTTTATTTATTATTGATCATTACACAACATGTAAAAACATTCTGATTATTTCATGTATCTTAAATTAAAGGGTTCAAATTTGTGTGACAGATGGACAGACTGTCACCACCAGAACTTGGAAGACCTGTGATGACACCAAACACAGTAAAAAGTTCAATAAAAAGTCTTTAATAGATGTGACTCGCCCGAAGAGGGTGAGGCCGGAGACGGAGTCAGAGAGGAGGTGTGGGTCTAAACCAGAATGGGACGAGCAGGTACAGGGAACAGGCTGGAGACGTAGTAGAAGACAGGCGAGGGTCGTGATGGCAGGCAGAGTTCAAGGCAGGGGTCAGGCGTGAAAACGAGGTCCGGAGGCTGTGATCAGGCAAGGAGAAAGGCTGGAAGATTTACTGGCAAAGAGCATTCAATAATCTGGCAGAGGACTGGTGGCTGGCTGGTGAATATATAGCAGGAGGAGCAGGTGTGTGTAATGAGCTGATGACAGGGACAGGTGAGATGAATGAAGGGGCTGAAGGCTTGATGAGGTGGCAGCAGAGGCAGAGGAGGGTGAAAGACTGGGAGTCATGACACAGACAGACAAGCTAAAATTATTTACTAAAATGTTTTTTTTTATCAACTAAGATGAAACAAAATAAATCAGTTGTTACAATTGATTGTTAAAATAATGGACAAACCTCCTTGATGTCACCCAGAGGTTTCTGAGGATTTGACTTGAAGTCAAGTGGGTGGTTCCGATCACCGCCATCTTGGCCGCATCATACATCTTGACACTCCCGAACAATGGGTGGAGCTGAAAGTAGTGTTTTGAGGATCTCATTCCACTATTGCTCGCAGCTACAAGCTAACTGAGCTAACTGAAACTAATGGAGGCTTGCAAATTGCCAGAAAAATGCAATTGAGAGGCTCCAACGTGAAGTACGCATCAACTCATTGAGCTGCAGCGTTTCTGCGGTCTGCCTCAGAGAGCGCCACACACAGGCAAAAAGCACAGCGTCAGACCGCAGTGATCGGAGCAGGGCAACACATGGCAAAATGTTTTTTGAACCAGGCTGTAAACATGTTTATTTCTGCAGTGAAGTTGGCATTTTTAACATGGGAGTCAATTAAGGATTTGCTCACTTCTGGTGCCAGCCCCTAGAGGATGAGGGGAGAACTGCTATTGTTGTCACTTCCTGGTTGGCTTCACTAAATTCAGACAAACTGCCCCTTGGTTGTTACACATTATTTAACTTGCCTTTTCTTCTCAGTCAGTTGACTGACATCCAACTTTAACTTCATGGAATTTTTGAATATTTAACCCAATGGGGGTCTTGTAATGTATTTAGCCCAGGGGCCCCTGATGCTGTTAACCCTCTCAGGCTCAAAATAAGTTTTGATAAACGGATGAACAACTAAGTCCTTCAGGGGTACTTCTGAGTTAAAAAAAATGCTCATAAAATACTTATGCGGAGTAACCAGGTAGGTAGGTTTTAACGTTGCAAATCTGCAACGCCCGCCTCCAGAGGGTTAATGCAGCCGTGCAGATAACAGCACGATGAGAAGCAGACAGCTGTCAGACTCTCACAGTTGTTCAACAACACGGTTAGAAACAGCAGCCACTGCTAACCGGTAGCGTCAGCTATAAATGGTCAGTTTGTCTTAGTCAAAGCTAAAGAACATAAAAGTTATCCAGAGCCAGAGCTGAACATTTCCAGATTCATGTCTGGTGAGCAAAGAGGAATGTTGGTGCCACTGTGATGTTGGGGGATGTTTTAGATGTTTGTTTGTTTTTTTAGACCAGGTGCTGCAAGCTGTTGGTCTTTCTGTGGTCCTGCTGTTGCTGCTGCCACTGAGCCACATGATGTGTGTCCTGTGGAGGAAGAAGAACAAGCAGAACCAGTACCAGGAGCTTCTATCCACCGAGCTATCAGTACCACCATGCTCTGCTCCAGTGATCTTGGTGTCTCAGGGCACCTGGACCGCGTAAGAAGAAACAATTTAAGATCTGCTTAGTGATGATTTGATTATATTTGTTGGAAGCTTAATGTAAAAATGGGACCCAGCAAAACAAAATCATACAATCAGCAGAGTTAATCCTTGTATTCTTGTACTGCCTAAGACTCATTTGATGTTTTTTGTGTATGTCAGGCCCAATGAAATCCCTTTTGCTTCACCTCCTCGATTCACCCCACAAAATATTGAGGCTCGGACATCTGGAGGGGACATCGTTACAGATGAGGAGGAGAAGATGAAGATGAAGACCCAGCGGGACGTTCTGGCTCATCGTGGCTCGCTCTCAGTGAGGAGTAAGTCACTTTTGCTGTTTTGACCATCCTGGTAAAATCATGCTTACTTTCAATTTAAAAAGTAAATTCCTGAAAATGAGTTAATCTCATTAATAAAAAAACTCAGTCAGACATTAATGCAGCTTTTATTAAAGAGTTACTATCTGAACAACCAGCAGCTCTACTCTTTTCATTTAATAAATATTACAAATCTGTATGGTGCTTATAATTATTAACTACTGTGGTGCAAATTGTTTGATTCATAAGAGGATATAATATTTATTATGAGCTGGAAATATAAAAGAAGTGCCTTTAATTTAGAGCATTGTTGGTTTTATGCCTTTCCATCGACCGGTCCCTAACCATCCTCCATCTGATTTCAGCAAGCGGTTAAAGCAAAAGTTTGATACATATTTATAAAAATCCTCCAAGTTATTGGAGATTTTTTATTAAGTAAGGTTGGAAATCATACTGTCAAACCTCATTTAATCCCATCTTTACATTTGTTTTTGTTGTTTTGACCAGGTTGGTACCCAGTTGGTTCGGTACTGGCAGGCCTCTACTCTGTGACCCCTCTGAACGAGGTCATGGCGCCCCCTCCCGGCCTGGCCACTCGTCTCTGCTTCTCTGTGGAGTATCGACACAGCAGTGAACAGCTCATGGTATCCTTGCTCCGCCTCGCTAACCTTCCCCCTCGTTTCCATAGCAACGTCACACTGGTGGAGCTTCGCCTACTTCCTGATGACCGGCGGCCCCGCCAGACTAAGGCCCGGAGTACAGGGCCCGACCCAGAGTTTAATGACTGCTTGGTTTTTCAGGCAGGCACTGTTTTTATTCACAAAAGTCAAAATATAACTTTATCTGTAAATATAAGGATTAAATGTGTGTATGTGTGTGTGTGTGTGTGTGTGTGTGTGTGTGTGTGTGTGTGTGTGTGTGTGTGTGTGTGTGTGTGTGTGTGTGTGTGTGTGTGTGTGTGTGTGTGTACGTGTCTGCACGTCACAGGTGTCTGCAATATGTGTATCAAAGAGCACCCTGAGTGTGTGCGTGCTGGGTGTGGAAAAAGATGGCAAACGACACGCTGTGGGCAGAGTGCTGCTTCCTCTGGAGGGGGAGCTGGGTCAGGCCGGACGAGTGCTCTGGAGAGATCTAGATCCTGAGGAGGAGACACAGGTACATGCATGCACGCACACACACATGCATGCACACACACAAGCGTGCACACACATTTACTTTCACGATGAACGTTTCAGACTGGTTTAGTAAAATTTTGCTGTCCTATCCGTCAGTGTTCAGAGCAGGGGGACGTTCTGATATCTCTCAGCTACAGCTCGTCTCAGCAGAGACTGTCCGTGGTGGTGGTGAGAGCTCGAGGCCTCCAGCTGCTCACAGACTCAGGTACTTTAGGATCAGGTTTTGTGGGTAAATCCAATGGGAAGCTGGAGTCAATTAAAAACTTTGATTAAACACGGCAGCTGTTTGCTTTTCTCCAGGTGTGTGTGTACAGGTGAGCTTACAGATACACACTCAAGTGGTGAAGACGAAGTGTAGCTGTGTGGTAAAGGATGAGCAGGATCCCATTTTTAACCACAGGATGACTTTTAAGCTGCGACTGCAGCAATTAGACGAGGCCTGCCTGAGGTTTGAGCTGCAGCAGCTGAACAACAGCCACTCAGGTGAGGACATATTATGAATGCGTGCTGACAGTATTTAGCTCCGAATGTGGCATTTCTTTTAATCCAGTGAGTAAATTTTGTTTGTTGTTTCAGATCCTCCGTCCCTCCTGGGAGTGCTGGTGTTGGGTCCTTTCATGTATGCCAGGGGTCTTCAGCTGCAGCACTGGATGGACATGATTAATAAGGAGCAGGAGCCGGTTACACTGTGGCATGGACTCTGCAGAAGCTTCTAACTCATAAATCACTCGCATGCCACACAAACACACAGAGTCTGAAAGGACAAAGAAAAATCTGCAACTGAAAACGTTTTGGCAGCTTCTTTATTTAATCCTGCATTGAACATTTTCTCTGCTCTTGATTACTTCTGTAGAGTCACAGAGTAAAGTCCTAAATGCTGCTGGTGAACATTTACATCATGCTATAAGAATACAGAAAGCTTAAAAAAGAAATGTATCTCTGAGATAAAATAACCACATTTTCACTCTGTTAAAAATCTCAAGTATGTAAATAAAATAAATTAAACTAATTTAGCAGAAAAAAACACAGCTAGGAGAAGCTGAAGAATTTATTTGTTTTATATTTCCAAATGGGGAACAATGAAAAGTAGAAGTTTGGTAACAAAAATCCTGTAATCTGCCACAGTCTTTCATATGTACCTGGCAATTTTAGGAGGTTACTTTCACTTTACTTTTGGTTATCTTAGTTTAAATTTACTAATTCTTAAATAACAACCTCTAACAATGTTTTTCATCTTGAGAGGCGCTATATAAAAATAGTTTCTTGTTTATGTTCTTCTTCATCTTGACATCCACCCAAATCACGCCTAAATGATAAATGACACGCACTTGTATAGCACCTCTCAGAGTAAGGACTCCAAAGCGCTTTACACTACAGTGTATCATTCATCCATTCACACACACACATTCACACACACTGGTGGGATGAGCTACGATGTAGCCACAGCTGCCCTGGGGTGCACTGACAGGGGCGAGGTGCTGAGCAGGGGCGCTGCCAGTCCCTCCGACCACCACCAACAGGCAAGGTGGGTTAAGTGTCTTGCCCAAGGACACAACAGCAGAATTCTCTGTCCGGAGCCAGGATCAAACCTGCAGCCTTCCAATTACTGGACAACCCGCTCAACCTGTCGAGCTACTGCTGCCCCAAAGTTTGAGGATGTAGTATAGACTTAAACACTTTAAAATGAACTTGATTCATAAACATTTTTTACAAGGCCTTAGTATCCATTTAAACTTTAAAAACACAAAAACGTTACAACAATATATTTTTTAGCTTGAAACTGGTTTGTGTTGTGTTAATTTGTGGTGTGTTGTAAATAATAAAATTAATCAAATTAATTATAACATCTCTTGTTTTTGAGGGGTCGTAACTTGGTTTTTATGCGTCTTTTTTTATTTTACTTTTTTATTCGAGAAGGTCTTGTTTTATTCTGGCCAAAAAAGAAAGAAAAGGAAAAGAGGGCAGTGACTTTTCTCTGGACGTCCTCATCTAGTCCAGCAGGGGGCGTCGCTCGTCTTTGGCACGCTGAGCGCAGCCGCATTTGAAACCGTAGAACGTGAATGAGCACCTCTCCCTGAACTGAGCTAGCCGGACATGAAATTGTAACTTTAAGTCTAGTTTATCACCATGAAAGTAAATGAAAACACTTTACTGGAAGGACACAAAGTCGTGTTGGTTCCTTACAACGAGGAGCACGTGCCCAGGTAACACTAGCGCATGTTACAGTAGCTAGTATCGGTCTCTCCGTTTGTCGTTTCATCCATTCAGTCCTCTGCTCACAGCTCAAACGCTGTTGAATGGATATTTGGTAGAGAATTGAAATGAATCGAAATTGAAAATAATTTTTAAACAAGCTGCTTTTACTTAATTGTAAATGTGGAAGTACTTGGTTTGTATTTTATATAACTGGGTGCTTAAATGTTTACTAATAAAACAAATGAATACAGCTAGTTTTTAACACGTGATCAAATCTTAGGTTTAGTGTGTTATTGTTGGTTTTGCTGTATTTCGCAGATATCACGAGTGGATGAAGTCTCCTGAGCTGCAGCAGCTGACTGCCTCAGAGCCGCTGAGCCTGGATCAGGAGTACGACATGCAGAAGAGCTGGAAGGAAGATGATGACAGTACGTGGGCACCAATCTGCGCTCTACACCCACTAGAAATAACATTTATGGATATTTTGAATAGTTTCCAATCAACCAGTGATTAGCACAAATGCGACCATCGGTCATTGAACTGTAAAGTTTTGATTTTTAAATTTCAGAGTGCACATTCATCATCTTGGACAAGCAGAGGTGGGCGGACCCCAGTGTTGACGAGGAGCAATGCATGCTGGGAGATGTCAACATCTTCCTGACTGACCCCACTGACCTGTCCTTAGCTGAGCTGGAGGTCATGATAGCAGGTGACACACAACTCTCAGGTTTATCTAGTCAGCCTGCTGGTTTGGTTTTGAATATAAAGACTTTTTTTTTTAGCTGTGTTTTAAAATTATAAATGTAACGTTGTTGTTCGTGAAAACCCTTCAGACAGGGAACTGTTTTGACTCCCACAGAGCCGAGCTACAGAGGAAAAGGCATCGGGAAAGAAGTGACGCTCATGATGATGCACTACGGTGAGGAGAGGATGCAGGTTTTTATGTCTTTTAGTGCAGCCCGTTATGAAACGGTTTTGAGAGATCAGTAGTTCTTGTCTTGAACTGCTACTTTTTAAAGAGCTGAAGCAGATTTTTCTGTGGATTTAGAAGGCCAGAATTCAAAATGTCATTAGGTTTGATTGTGAAAAAGACAAAGAGGTTATCTGTAGAGAGCTTTGACACTAACATTGAGCAGTGTCTAATTCAATCTGCTGCACTTGCTGTCTTTAACAGGAATCACCAAACTCGGGGTCAAAAGGTTTGAAGCTAAAATAGGTCTGGACAACCAGGTCAGCATCGCCATGTTCAAAAAACTGCACTTCCAGCAGGTAAGGAGACGGTGTCCCCTTCCACCAGGTGCTTAAGCTCTTAAGCATAAATCGTAATCAGAGTTGTGTCTGTGCAGGTGTCCGTGTGTAACGTGTTCAAAGAGGTGACCCTTGAGCTAACGGTGGATGAGTCCATTCAGAAGAAGCTGCAGGACGATGTGGCCTACATGAAAGAACGAGACTTCAGACTGGCACGCAGCAACAGACATGAGTTTATCTGATAAAAAGTCTCTGTTCTGAGCTCCTCATTCCCTCCTAAAGACTTTGGGTTGAGGAACAGTTTATTCTGCACTTAAAAAAAGGCTGAATGTGGCAAATTTGGATCAAGAATTCATTACCTCCATCTGGTATCGAAAACAAGAACAAAAGATTATTTTTAGGTGTTAAAAAGTGCACACTTCCTCTCTTCCTCCTCTCAATGAAAATGGTTTATTTATGAGGGACTAAAAAACATTCATGTCCTCTCTGTGTTTACAGATTAGTCTTTTAACCTTTGTCAGACGTAAACATTTGTTTTCTGTGCTTCTGCTTTTCCAGCTTTTTGCTGTAGGAAACAAAACTTCGGACAGACCAACGCCGACAGTTTTTTCCTGCCATAATTGACGTTTTAAGGTCTCGTGTTTCAACCATCCAATGACCTCACTCACAGTAATGCTTTTGGAATCGAGGAGAATTAGGAAATGCTTCTCGTCCATCACGCTAACCGATTTATTTACACTTTCTGTCCATTTGCTCTGGGGAGCTCAGCTGTTGGGAGCTTCAGATGAAATCGAAGCAAATCTCAACATAACATCTAAGGTTTTCTTCCAAACAATATATATAATTATAAATCACAATATTATCAAAATATATTGATATTAATCGTTGATATAAAGAGCTCAGAATGGAAAATGTTATAGAAAGCACATTTAATGGTGACACATCACTATAAAGCTTAATTTATGTTATGAATTATTTGACAGAAATTCTAAATACCATTTTTTAAATTAAATATGAATATTTTCACTTTTTTTATCTGTCTCACTTTTAACAGTTCTGACATATTTAAGCTCCGTAGTTTTAACCTTTCAGACATTTGAACAAACAAAAGCTTTTTATTGCAAACATGTTTACCGTTGTTACAAAACACCTATTTTTTGCAGTGCAGCCAGTTAACCCTCTGGAGGCAGGCGTTGCAGATTAGCAACGTTAAAACCTACCTACCTGGTTACTCCACCTACGTATTTCATGAACACTTTTTAACTCAGAAGTACCCCTGAAGGACTTAGTTGTTCGTCCTTTTATCAAAACTTATTTTGAGCCTGAGAGGGTTAAGGGTGCATGTTCAGCAGGAACACCATCCATCTTCTGAACCCGCTCTGTCCACACAGGCTCAATGGGCAATCAGGCGGGGTACACCCTGGACAGGTTGCCGTCCATCGCAGGGCTAGCAGGAACACGTTGAATAAAAAAAACAAAGCTTCCACTGTTATGAGTACCTCAGAGGCGGACCACTCATCCAACGTGAACTAATGGTTTTTAGTCACAGAAGATTCAGATCCTAGAGAAAAGTTGGAAAAATGTTTCATCTCTCCACGACCAACCCAACGAAACCATTCTTGAACATTTTCTGCAGCTGGGTTTTATTTAGCATTTTCTGTGTTGGATGTTTTAGATTGGTGTTGACATTTGTGTTTGTAGTTTATTGGTAATTTAGTTTGAATGGAAATTTAACAGCTTAATTCCAAGGTTTTCACTCCTCTTTGTTGAGAGGAAAACTGGTGAATAAAAAGGCTTCAAACCTGCAGCAGCAATAACTGGGATTGTTTGTAATTATCAAAAATATCAGAGTACGCATCTCACTTAACCGAGCTAATGCAAGATTCAGACTTCTGAAGCTGGATGTGGGACCTCACCCTGATTTATTGGTTGCAGATTTTGTCACGATCAACAAACATTTAATTTCAACCTGCCTGTTAGAATTATTCATGAGAAACCATTTTTAAGAGTTGGTGATACAAATATAAAGCTAAAGCTGTATCTGTTATTTAAACTGTGAACATAAAAACTTCTTCCTGGTTTACAAATAAAATTGAAACCGTTCCTAAATTAAATTTGCATCTTTGGCAAAATCGATTCCTGTATTTTTATTTGTCAGATGGTACAGTTCACCAGTGTCTTCGAGCCTCAGGAGGATCTGAGCTGTGACGTTTCACTTGTAGGGTCGTGATGAAGGACCTGCTCAGACCTCTGCTGCAGATGTTTCTAACTCATGCAGCACAAACAGACTCAACATTTTACAGAATTATTATATCAAATACATCCTGACGATGTGCCTGTAAAACAGCTGCCTGCAGGTCTAAATGTGAAATGCTGCTGATGGAGGCCGTGGAGACACACTTTTAAAAAATGAAGCTGTAGTACAAAGATGGTGAGACAGTGAAGACCATTCCATGGGAATAACACGTCTCTCCCTGTACATGTCCTTCTGCAGAACTCTCACCTCCCTGTCCTGCAGACAGGAGGAGGGAGAGCTCAGTCTCGTTTCTGCATGCTCCTCTGGATCAGTTCTTAGTTGTTTGTGAAGATTCAACAAGTTCTTTTACGGCGGACGACAGGTTCAGCAGCAGCTGTCTGGCCACACCCTCCTGCACTTTGACCCAGGATACGCCGTCAGTGACGGCGGCGTTGATCGGCACGCAGACGGCTTCCTTCTGTAGGTCGGTGAGCTGACAGGCAGCGACGATTCCTACCATGCCCAACATCAGCAGGAGGAGGAGCTTAAACACCAGACCAATGAGAGAGCGGCATGGTTTAGGTGCTGGCTTTGCTGCAACGTTTTTATCTGCAGAGACAAAACGTGACATCAGAACATCTTCAGGCTGAAACTACAAACGTTTCTCATTTCAAACACGAACCATCGCGTTGATCTCACCTGCTGCTTGTCCATTTTTCTTTTTCTTCTCATTTTTCTTCTGCTGAGCCTTCGCAGCTGCAGCTGCCACCTGAGCGTTGTACTCCTTCCTCCTCTTCTCCTTCTCCTCTGCTTTTTCCTGTTTACGGGCCTCCCTCTCTTTGGCCTCCCGCTCCCTCTGTTTGGCCTCCCTCTTCTTCTCCAGCTCTACGAGCAGACAACGTTGGGTCAGTGGGTTGACTTTGATGCTTTTTACACTTTAATCTGAAACCAATTTCCTACAAATGGTCAAACATCTAGCTTCACAAATCTTGATGCAGGAGGTTTTCTTTCACACCATCGATCGTCTCTTTAACACCTTTTGTCTAGAACATTTTCATTTACCCACCTTTTTCCTTTAAAAGACGTTTCTCCCGTGCGCGATCAACATCCTCCTGAATTGCTCTCATGAGCTGCAGAACCTGAGAAATGCAGTCATTAGTTACATGTTTGTTTTGGTGAACAAGCTGATTAATGAATGAGTCTCTGCCACCTTTATGGCACACAGTTTACACTGCTTCTCATCCAGGCAGTCTCCTGCAGCTTTAGCTAGGCCAGGTTCCAGAGGGTTATCCTTCAGATCGAGCCACTTCAGATTCTAAAACACACACACACACACACACACACACACACACACACACACACACACACACTCAGTCACTTTGAACTTGGACTGATACATCAGACAACAGGAGTGTGACATTTATCAAGTTCGAATTGTGATTTTAGCTTCTGATCATAAAAAACAACATAATGAATAGATTTCAATTAAATTGTCACATTCTGCATTGCCAGCATAATTTCTCATGTTTTACAAAGTCAGAGCCAGAGCAAGGGCCCACGGTACAAGAGTAAACCCCCCCACCACAGCTATACAAGGACGGGGAACATAAACAGATCCAGTGCTCTGAGGATCTCCATGTAAAACGGGCGGTGTGTTTGAGCTGCATGGTCCATATCTTACCCTGAGCTGAGAGAAGCTGACAGGCAGAACCGTCAGCTTGTTGTTGTACAGGTCCAGATGTTGAAGGTTGACTAGGTTCCCCAGGTCATCTGGCAAACGGGTCAGCTGGTTTTTACTCAAGTCCAGCTTCACTAAGTGAGTCAGGCTGCAGAACTCTGGCTGCATGAACAAAATAAAAGTAAAAACATGATTGCAAATTATTCAGTTTGAGCAACATCAACCCGCAAACATGCTTAACAATAACAGCAGAAACTAGATGAAAGTGGATAGGTAAACCTCGAGATTTTAGAGTTTATAATTATTTATGCAAGAAAAGAAAAGTTTGAATCACTCTCTCCATTTAACAATGTACAGCTCGGTTTAATAGAAATTCAAACTTTTAAAAGAAAAAGTATCTTTGGTAGCTTTAATGAAACATACTGACGTGGATGCACTCACGTGCTTTCACTTAAAATGCTCAATATTTGCTCTGGATGAGTCAGTTAGACACTTACAGGAAGGGAGATGATGTTGTTGCAGGACATGTCCACGGCAGTGGCTTTGGGAAATGAAGACTGTTAGAGAAAGGAAGGTAGTTAAACCATGACATCACAACATCTCCTTATCTGGCTGTATTTATTACAAACATGTAAACACCCTGAGTGACTTACGAGCTCTTTGACTGGTACCTCACTGAGGTTACTCAGGCTCAGGTCCACTTCATTTCCACTGATTTTATCCCTCAGGTTTAACACTTTGTTTTTACTCATCCTTCAGTCCGAGGCGTCTCTTGCCAACACACTGAGGTTAAACAGATCAGTGGAGATACTTCTGATCGCCAGACAACAGGAAACCCTGAAACTACGACGATTTTATAAGATTTCTCACCTGTAAACGATAACCGTGGAAAACTGCGTCCTAGTTTAACAGCCGGTAAACAACATCGACATATAAGACAAACACACGGCAGGTATATTACGTCAGTTAGAAGAAATTTGGTGCACAAGCTTTGAATCGTGTTTCTGGCAGTGGCAGCACTGACTGAACGAAAATCCACGTCACTGATTGAGCTGCTACGCGGAGACGTTAGCGCAAACCACGCAGCGTCCCCTGCAGGACCGGAGGAGACAAGACGCGCTTTGAATCTCCCTCTCCAAATCCTAACCTGAGGCGCTGTCCTTCTCTTTAGCATGGAGGCAATAGTACATTCATCACAAATTCTGACTTAAGTTTTCTTAGTGCTACTTTAAAGCAGATTTAAAAAAAATCAGTTTTCCCATAAAGTATGACTTAACTTCTGAATGTTTAACCTCCGTGTTTCCTTTTCGGGCCAGAGCAATCTTCTTTACTCAATTGGCCCCACCCCCCTGATTTAATGTGTAAGTGACAGATTAAAAAATCAGGAGGAAGTGCAGCACAGGAACATTAAATAACTTAATAAACAGTGACATGATTATAGATATCTGTATTTTTTTGTCTTTGTGGCTTATGTAACGAATTAAGGATTAGATTAGGTACTTGTGTATTTATTTTCAATTTTATTTTATCGATGATTATTTAATGAGGTATATGCCACCAAGCTCTTCTACCAAACGTGGAAGACATGTAAAGGGGTGGATGTGGCAGGTTTTGAATGAAAGTACTCAACCTAATACTTCACTGGTGTAAGACCAAAAAAGATTTGTGCCAAATTGGGGCCATTTTAAAGAGAAACCTTGAAATTCCCTTTTTGTTAGCTCAAACATCTTCTCACAGACAGTGCAATGCATACACTTTATTAATCATTTTAATAAACAGCTATGCAATTTGTATTTATTGTTGCTAACATAAAACAATTCTGCACTCAAAAACCAGTTGTGAGTCAGCCTCACAACTTATTTTTGATGTTGTTTTTTGTTTTGTTTCGGAAAGGCTAGTCTGTGCTTAACCAGCTGTAAAACATAAAGCACAAGAACAGACTGGCAGCTGTAACATAGAAAACAAAATAAACTTTGTTGATGGTCTTAATTTTTCTGGTCCAGTAGCTGGTCTTCCTCTCCTCTTGTATGCCACTGAGGAGGACATTCATCGTTTTAATCAAGTCATTTAGTTCTCCTGAGAACATTTCAGAGGAATGTGGTTCCTCGATCAGCTGACTGCCAGAACCCTGAAAAAAAGAAAGTAACAAACAGCACAGAAAAGGTGAATGGGCCATTTGTGTTTTCTACATGTCTTTAATAAATGCCTGTTAGGACCTGTGTCCTCTTGTGCTATGATATTGTATTCTCTTCAACTTAGACCTGTTTTTATTACTAACCCATGCCATTCGCATCATATTTGCTACATGAGTTTCTGAAACCTCTATCTCATTGACATGATCAATATTTGCCTTAAAAACGGGTTGTATATAATCTGATACATGTATTTTGCCTCCTACTGGATTATTATGCCAAACAGGCAGCTCAAGTTTAGTTTTGATCATTCCCAACATGGCTACTCCCAGCGAGTGATCCATTTGCCCTTTGTCAGGTAAATCATTACTAATTTTTGAGAAGTTGTGGTAAGAATAACATAAAAGTTTAAGTAATTTTTAACACAGTCCATCTGACTGTTTTTATTAAGTAACTCATTCTTTATATTACAGTTAAACCATGTTAAAATGTCTGTATCAAATTTGATACTGCAGGTATGAAATGTGCTTTTTCCCCAAATTTTCATTTTGTAATTCATTCTACATAATACTTACTAAAATACAAACACATGCCATTTTGATTGTCCTACAATGATTCACTGAATGCCATTTCAATGAAATTTTGATTATTTCCACAAAACACACTTCCTCTGAAATAACAATGTCTATACTTTATTTACACACACACACACACACACACACATATATATATATATATATATATATATATATATATATATATATACACACACACACACACACACACACACACACACACACACACACACACACACACACACACACATATATATATATATATATATATATATATATATATATATAGTTTTAGATGTAAAAACATGTTGCAATATTCATGTTAAGATATTGAATCGATATTTAAAAGCAGTGTATAGTTTTTTATTGAGAATTTACATAAATATTACTTTATTTCTCTTTTGTTGTGCAATTCAAGTCCAACTGGGTAACAGGTTGTTAAAGGTTGTAAAACGTTTTTATGTGAAAAAGAATAAAAGAGGAAAGGCTTTAAAACATGTTTTACATTTTCAGAATGTTATAGAGAAAACACTTTTTTTTCCTCTAAATAAATATGGTTGTTAACAAAAAGTAGCCAAAAACTTCTAATATATCAAACATGATACAAAAAATATATAATAAAAAAAATCATAAACAGCATGATATAGAAAAAACATTTTTGTGGATTTTGTTATAAGGATTTATAATTATCTTAGTTCTAAATATCAGAATTTTCTGGGTATTTTTTGATGGGTTGGGTCTTACAGGGTTAAGAGCCCGTGGTGACACTGGTGTCACAGCCCATTTCAAGCATCTGCAAAATTGCTTGAGTCAAGTTTGACAACCCCAAGTGACATCCTACCCATACATATGTCAAAAATTATTTTACCTCTTTATTTTATTCTAAATTTTGATGTATTTATTCCAACTTGTTTTCTATTTTTAAAAAGTTAGGGTTCTTAAGGCCTACAAAACACTTGAATTCTAGTTATAATTTAATATTTTTATTTTTAGTAGTTATTTTAGGAAATTTGTCTACAATATTTTGTTTAAATGTAAACACATTTTTTCATGTTTATGAGGTCCTACACAGAAATAAATAAAACCAGAATAGCACCACGAGCTGTAATTAAATGGCTTATATGATCTTCATTCTTGAATGCTTCAGAATGTTTCCAAAATCTTTATTGAAAACACGAAAAGCATTTTAGTTCAGATGTTTCCAGACCTGAAGGGGTTCAGCTGGCATCTTTTTTGCAGGTGCTCCACAAACCCACCGACACGCGGTACGGTTCTTAACTGGAGGGACAGAATCAGAACATTAGGCTCACGCTGCCGTCTTAAACGGAGACTTTTCCAGATTATTTAAAAGAAATTAGCACACAACGTGTTTCATTGTCCATTTAGTCTGCACTAGAACGTAGCTGTTCAAACATGCATTTCAGATGATTTTTGTAGACAGAAATAAGTTAGCTGCTACATCTTTCAGCAAAGTCTCATGCAGGTTAGAGCATTTGATCAGTTGAGTTAGTCAAAACCCTACATTCTCTTTAACGATACATAAACGAGCAAACTCTCTTTCATAGCATAAGTCCAACCTTCTTCACAGCTGTGGAGACTTCCTTTTCGACCTTGGTTTTCTTCACCACCCTCTCCTCCACCTTGGTTTCTCTCCTGCTCATCATCTTGGGATGCAGACTCTCTCTCCATCAGGTACATCATCAAAATGGTCTCCAGGAGGCTGAGCATCATCAGAGAAAAGATCCCAATGCAGTAGACCACTGAGGAGAGAGATAATGATGATTTAGAATCAATATCTTATGAAAACATGGTGAAAATGTAAACATGCTTTAATGCCTTTGTCATGTAAGGCCGTTTACTTATGAGTGGGATCCATTCTGATGACGAAGGCAGAATGTCATTGAGGATGAGCTGCATCACGGTGACGGCCAGCAGCACGGTGACCTTAAAGCTGAGCTTCTCCCCGCCTCTGTCTGAGATCAGGAAGGAGGACATGTCCAGAAACAAGAAGAAGAGGATGGGCAGCAGGAAGTTAACGATGTAGAGAGTGGGCCTCCTTTTCATGGAGATCTGTAAAAAAGGATGGGAACACGTCAGAGTGTTAGTACTGCACATGAAAGCAAGAACGAGTAAGGATTAAAAAGTAACAGGGGCTGCATTCTAAAGATGACTGAAACAAGAAACAGTTAAACCTGAGCTAAAGACAGACGAAAATAAGCGTTCAAGGCTACTTTAAGATTCTTTTAAATAAACGGTCACCATCTAAATAAACTAAACGCTCCACATTTATATTAGTTAGATCGTTCGTGTTATTTCAGAATGCGGTCTGCACTTCACCTAGCCTTCAGCTTTAATCATGCCTGTGGACAATCTATAAGATTGGAGTTGTTTGTACTTACACACACATAGGATTAGGATCAAACACCTGATAAAATGCATGAGTTATTTTAATTTGAAATGGGACTTCAGATCCAGGGAGGTGTGCCCTGTCAACTTAGTGGGAGGACTGATTGTAGATTAAAAACCATGAACCCAGACGTTCGAGAAACCTTTTTAATGTCCAGCACATGCTGGCTTCCGGTAGTCAGGGCCTGAATGTTTCCATTTCTCTGATTTTTGTTATTTAAATCAAGTTCATTCAAACTGCTGTGTTGTAGTTGTTAAGTTAATCACTACTTCTTTTTTGGAAAATGGACTTAATTAACTGGTCATTCAACGCGATTGATAAGATTTTTTCTACAATGAGAACGGAGAAGGGGGCTCCCACCTGTCCCGAGGGGACATTCGCAGCGGGATATGCACTCGATTCTTGGGAGGTCTGGCGAATCGTGTGCCTCTCTTGGTTGTCCATCGAGGACGTGGAAGATTTGTGGATATTCCACCTGATGATCACTGGATTTCTTCTGATTGGAGTGGGAGGATATCTGTTTTTCTGGAAATTTGGGAAGATGGAGCATTTGGAGTGCGACCCGCACCCACGGAATGTGCCGCCCGTGCGGTGACCTCACAGACTGGGACGTTACTTGAGGTGAACCGTAAGCTGGACAATGTCCTCGCGGCGTTGCCTGTGTTAGTGCGCAAGATGGATGTCATCTCGGAGAGGGTCGCTGGACGGTGTGGGGATGTTTAGAACATATAATTGGCTTCACTGGTGGACACGAATGACCACTTATAAACTCCAAGGCAGAGAGGAAAATCATCTCTGTCTGCCCTAAACAAAGTCTTGTTTATCCTTATCTGACGCCAAGGCAGCCTCCAAGGATGCCATCAACACACCCCCACGAAAGGAGGAATGCTGACAGATGCTGTGTCCCGACCTTCTCCCCCTGCCTTCAGATTGTGACTTCTGCTTCCAGGTCAGCAACCTGCACGAAACTCAATGTGCTCTCTGTCCCTCATTTCTCCCTCCCACCTGTTTGACTGCAGCTGGCTGAGCGCTGTAATGGCAGCTCCCGTTGGAGGATTCAGGATCCCGCCCAACCCCGCCTCCCCATCGGACTCTGATGTTTTGTATCTGTGATGTTCGTGCTTCTATGTTGAGGAGTTGTTTTTTTTTTGTATAATAGAGTTACTCCCCCCTGGGTCTAACTCTGCTATGCCTTTTTTTTTTTACCTTACCCCAATTATCCTCATTTAACACCCTTTTCATCTAATGAAATGAGCGCTGTTATGGCTGCTCTCGTGACTGCCTGTACCTGTTTTTGTCTACATGTGTGTGTGTTTAACCTTGGTCAGATTGTGTTTGCGGAGTCAAGTTCCTATGCTCTGGTTCGCTGGAGCGCTGGCAATAAAGCTTATTCTGATTCTGATTCTTAAAGTAGGTATCGAATGAAATGTGAAAAATTCCCTCACCAAAACAACGTCAACATTTTGAACAAACCAACAATGGTTTGTTCCTGGAACTGAATCATTTTTGCATCTGTTTGCTGTTATTATATTTCTGTTGTTAAAAAACATCCTATTCAAAGAGCTTGGTTATCCAACCTGAATGATAAAATCACTGCATTTAGAAAAACGGGACAAAATATATCAACACTGAAGTCCAACTAATTAAACGATTAAAAATGTAGAAATACATCAGCTGTGAAAGTAACCGAGTACAGTGTATTTGCTATTCCAAAATATGGCGAACTCCTCCATGTTCTCATGTTATCAGTTACCAACGTTTAGGGAGCACAGTTAAATGAAAGGACCCTGTACACAAGGAGAAGGGGTTCCTGACGCGTTGCTATGTGACTCAGGAGTCTGACCAAGTGTCTGCACTAGCAGGAAATGAGAACCTGTTTGCCAGCGCTCACAACAAAAGACAGAACAGAAACATCCGTTTAACACTAAAAAAATACAAAATAAACAACAGAAGTTGAAACAAACAGATACAAGCTGGAGTCCAGTTTCAAAATAAATATGAAATAACAAAAACCTGTGAAAGAATTTTATTGAATTTGTAAACAGCCACAGCAACATTACAGGTGCTGGCCAGTAAATTAGAATATCATCAAAAGGTTGAAAATATTTCAGTAATTCCATTCAAAACGTGAAACTTGTACATTATATTCATGCAATGCACACAGACCAATGTATTTCCGATGTTTATTACGTTTAATTTTGATATTTATAGGTGACAACCAATGAAAACATCAAATCTGGTATCTCAGAAAATTAGAATATTCTAAAGGCCAATGAAAAAATGTTTGTTTCTCTAATGTTGGCCAACTGAAAAGAATGAACATGAAAAGAATGTGCATGTATAGCACTCAATACTTAGTCGGGGCTCCTTTTGCCTCAATAACTGCAGTAATGCGGCGTGGCATGGACTCGATCAGTCTGTGGCACTGCTCAGGTGTTATGAGAGCCCAGGTTGCTCTGATAGTCGTCTTCAGCTCCTCTGCATTGTTGGGTCTAGCGTATTGCATCCTCCGCTTCACAATACCCCATAGATTTTCTATGGGGTTAAGGTCAGGCGAGTTTGCTGGCCAATCAAGGACAGGGATACCATGGTCCTTGAACCAGGTGCTGGTGGTTTTGGCACTGTGTGCAGGTGCCAAGTCCTGTTGAAAGGTGAAGTCTGCATCCCCATAAAGTTGGTCAGCAGCAGGAAGCATGAAGTGCTCTAAAACTTCCTGGTAGACGGCTGCATTGACCCTGGACCTCAGGAAACAGAGTGGGCCAACACCGGCAGATGACATGGCACCCCACACCATCACTGACGGTGGAAACTTTACACTGGACCTCATGCAACGTGGATTCTGTGCTTCTCCGCTCTTCCTCCAGACTCTGGGTCCTTGATTTCCAAAGGAAATGCAGAACTTGCTTTCATCAGAAAACATAACTTTGGACCACTCAGCATCAGTCCAGTCCTTTTTGTCCTTGGCCCAGGCGAGACGCTTCTTGCGCTGTTTCTTGTTCAAGAGTGGCTTGACACACAGAATGCGACACCTGAATCCCATGTCTTTCATGAGTCTCCTCGTGGTGGTTCTTGAAGCGCTGACTCCAGCTGCAGTCCACTCTTTGTGGATCTCCCCCACATTTTTGAATGGGTTTGTCGTCACAATTCTCTGCAGGGTGCGGTTATCCCTAGAGCTTGTACACTTTTTTCTACCACATTTTTTCCGTCCCTTCGCCTGTCTGTTAATGTGCTTGGACACAGAGCTCTGCGAACAGCCAGCTTCTTTAGCAATCACCTTTTGTGTCTTGCCCTCCTTGTGCAAGGTGTCAATGATTGTCTTTTGGACAGCTGTTAAGTCAGAAGTCTTCCCCATGATTGTGGTGCCTTCAAAACAAGACTGAGGGACCTTTTAAAGGCCTTTGCAGGTGTTTTGAGTAAATCAGCTGATTAGAGTGGCAGCAGGTGTCTTCTATATTCAGCCTTTTCAGAATATTCTAATTTTTTGAGATACCAAATTTGGAGTTTTCATTAGTTGTCACTTATGAATATCAAATTTAAATGTAATGAACATTGGAAATACATTGGTCTGTGTGCATTGCATGAATATAATGTACAAGTTTCACGTTTTGAATGGAATTACTGAAATATTTTCAACCTTTTGATGATATTCTAATTTACTGGCCAGCACCTGTAGTAGCTTTAGTACAGACTGTAATAAAAACCTGCATCAGACTGATGAACTGGGCTGTACTGTCCCTATCCTGTATTGCACACGTATCTGCATATACTTTGTACTCAAGCAGTTACAGCTACTTACAGTGTAAATAATCACATCTTGCTCAATTCCAAATGGAAAAACCGTTTTGCTGGTGACGGTCATGTTCACAAACAGCCACTCGTACTGTGTCCGCATTAGCTGGCGGGAGCTGTTAGTGATCACAGAGGAGTTCAAGCGATGAAAAAGTTTTATTTCCTCAACTACAATGGAACAAAAAATGAATAAAAACAAAGGTTAAATTGGTTATACAAGCACTGTGATAAAACAACAACAACAACAACAACAAAAAAACCATCAAAATGAGCAAGGAGCATAAATCTGACTGATGAAACTCACCAGAGTGGACAACAGATTTGATTGACAAGTTGCATGTCTGGATGTCAAATGGGAATTTGTGAATCTGCATCCTGCAGGTGCTGACCAACACCTGATCATTCTGGATGATGACTTTTCCAGAGCTGTTGATTATTAAATGAGGACTTGGAGGGGCTTTGTCCTTCTCTGTCCTGTTTAATAAAAATCTATAATCAGTCACACGAATACACAACACAGAATGGAGATAATCCAATAACAACTATGGTATAAAAATCAGCTGTATTGAAATCATATTTTAGTTACACAACTTATAATCTCTAGGAATGTCGTGAAAAAATATTTTCTATTTGTCATGGTTCTGCCTTCTCTCTGCTGCTGTTGCTCTTCTCCTTCATTGTTTGCAGGTAAGCGTGTTGGGGAGCCGCAGCTGCAGCTAATTACCATCAGCCTGGCCAGAGGATTTAAGAACGGCACTGCCACACCTCATCGCCGGTTGATACTATACTGTTGGGTACATCTAGCCATGTCCTGACCTGGGCTGTAGCTCTGATATGCGGTTTACCTGTACTAATCCTGCCCTGTTATCTCGTCAGTACCAGCCCTGGATTTTCTCCACCTGCCTGAGGTGTGCCTTATCCCAGCGTCGTTCAGCTTCCCTGGCCTCCTGCTCTCCACCGCTCACCTGCCTTCCTGGATCAAACATCTCCTCCAGCAACCATCTCCACCCTGCATCAACCTGACTTGCCTCTCCCTCCTGCCCTCGCCCTGCTCTACTCAGTAAGCCCGTTCCCCTCATTGTTATCATTTCCTGGTTCTCAGTTTCTAGTCACACTCACCGCTGTTCTTCTTTTAGAGCCGGAGTCGCCACGTTTCCTGTCCCGTTTGGATCAGCACCCTTAGCTACCCCTTTTCTTTTTCTACAATAAAAGTGTTGTTGTTCTTACCTTCTCCCTGTGATTCTTCATGTGGGTTAAGAAATTACCACCCATCATGACACTTTCTGACTCCCCATCTTTCCATCAATCCTAATCAAGTTTTATCCCGTTTCCTTCCTTCAAATCTTAAATAACTGAATACATTTCTTTAGTGTGGTATTGTCCTCTGACAGTTCATGAATGTTTAGTAATCTTACATCTCTTCAATAGTCAGATCCGGCTTCCACAGACTGTCAGTAGGGATGGTGACATTTTGAATTCCACAAAAATCACTGGGATTCCAGGAAATGTAATCATTCTGCCACTCCTACAGAGGAACACAGAATATTAGAGAGAAAACTTCTAATACTGTAGCGTCCAGAAATGGTCAGTTGTTCATCTACAGTTGACCTCTTTGGTATCCAGTCATATGGAGACATGAGTCTTAACTGGAGCCTTTAATCTGCAAAAGATACTGTTGCTTGACCAAGGTC